TTAAATTCATCTTCATCACACATATGCCTCCATCTTGTTGCACTTTAATCTCTTCTTAACGCCAAACATGACAGTTGTACATGACACAAAAAAAACTCTAAAAATGTAAGATGTGTGAATACTTTTTCAAGGTGCTACCATAATATCAGACACCACTTTCTTATGTCACATACAAACATTTTTGTACATAATTTATAAAAAGAGCTCGGTACCCTAAAATTTAAGAACAAGAAGAAAATTTACCTGAGGTAAAAACAAATATAGTACACACCTTTTGTTCTTGACATAAATATAAATATGCTACACATCTTTCTTAAAGTTCACATTTTCCCATTTGGACTCGAGGCTTTAAAAGGATTTTAACAATCAAATAAAAGTAGTGCTGATTAAACAGCTTTGCCCATGATAAGGAGGCTCATGAAAAACACCATTATAAAAAACATCCACATGAAAAAGCGATCTAAAACTTTGGCTACTTTCTTCCACTCCCCAGTTCGTTTCTGTGTGGCCCTCTGATCTCTATAACAGTTGGCGATGTATTCAATGTTATGCAGCAGTGGCCCATCGTTAGGATGAGTGTCACAGGAAATCCCGTCATCTTTTCTTTCTCCATCACTCACGCCTCCCTTTCTGCATCTCACCGGATCCCTTGACTCCCCACAGTCCAAGAAGATGCCATTCCTCCACGTGCTGTTATGGTTTGTAGGATTCCTCTTTAGTGATCCTAGTGGACTTAGGATTTGATCCATTTCTTCTCTCTCCTCTGTGATGACAGATCCAACCGTTTCCTGACCACTTCTGATGATGCAGTCGTCTTCTCTTCCTGGACACACCTGCCCGTTCATGGTGCAGCTGGTGTTGCTAACAAGTGCAGGTTCCTGTCTCTCTGACTCTGCCGACATGCAGTTCTCTCCAACTTCATAGACAAAACACATCCGGGCCATGTACTGCAGAATGACTTTCTTAGCCCACTTGGGAACAGGCTTGGCATCTGGGCCGCAGTGATGAATGTTCATGATAAAGATGGTCAGGGCAGTGGAGGCCGTAATCATTGTCATCGTTGCAATGTAATATTTTCCTGTAGAGGTTAAAAAGGCAAGAAAAATAAACATTTGCGCTATGTGTCTGTATGTTGCAATCATGTAAAGTGGGATTTGAACATACATTATTTTCCTCACCAATTAGTGGCACATTCTCAGAAGGTGGCATAATTTCTGCAACCAGCAGCTGGAAGACGGTGAGTGCCAGCATCACAGTGACACCCAAAGAAACCTTTTCCCCAGAATCAGCAGGCAGGTAGAAACCCAGTGGAGCCAGAAAAGAGATCATCACACACGGTATGAGAAGGTTGAAAACATAAAAGGAAGCTCTTCTCTTTAGCTTCAGCGTGTAGGTCACGTCTGGGTATGGGTCTGCACAGCATCCATATTGAACAACATTCTTCTTTGCCGGCATGCCGAGAACTTCCCACTCCACATTTTCCACCAGGTCAGCCAGGTCGGCGCTCTCCATGGCGTTCAGGATGTCCAGCTGGTTTCCATTGTAGGTCCAGGAGCCGTAAGTGAACCTGCACTGTTGACCATCGAAGGGGAAAAAGGACACATCCACTTTGCATGAGCTCTTTGTGATAGCAGGGGAATCCCACATCATCTGGCCGTCATGCCGGATCACCACGTTGGTATCCATCGGGCCGGTGAAATGGTTGTCTGCGCTGGAAAAACAGTTAGCTTAACTCAACAAGTGATCAATATAGTTCACAGCCATTCCAGAAGAAAAGACTTGATATGTAAGAGTGTTAACTTTTTAAGTGTTTCTGCAATTTAGAATTTCTCAGTTATTGTTGATATAATTAAAATCCACAAGAAGAGAAATATTTGCCTTATGTTTTATTCCTGAAGCATTTTTATTTTCTTCAGTTTATACATGTATGACTTTCTTGAAGTGATATTAAATAAACAAATACAAAATTAAAAAAATAACATAAAATGTTACAGTTACTAAAAAATAACTAAATAAATGCAGAATATAAAAAAATGAAAATAAATAAATGATGAAATAAAAAAATAAACTCATAAGAGTAGGATTGGAAATAAATTAAAAAATTAGAATAGTAAATTAACACTGTTAAAAATAACATAGGAATATTAATTTATGAAAAACTATATAATTAAATATGTTGGGAAAGTTCTTTATTTTTTGGATGCAATATTTGGCGCATAATTTACTTCTTCAGGCCGTTTGTTTATTTCTATGTTTATTGCCAATTTTGGCAGGATGTGTTCACCAAATTTACAGGTAAATGAACTATCAACGCTTGTCCAACCTACCTGTTATAAAGGACTATATCAGGTCTCCATACATAACTACCAGGAATACGCATGGTGTCGAGTCCATCGTATTCATCTTTATTCCATCTGAGATGTGCATCAAACCAGACTAGCCTTATCCACAAATAAGCAGTCAAAATTTGATTTCGCTCATCCTGTTACAAAAGAAGACGGGCATTAAAAGGCATGACACATAAACGTTACTGCAAAATTAAAAATGAATGGCAGCATTTGGTGCTCATGGTTAAATAATAAAAGAACTAAATGGTGAGATTCATTTCAATCGGTTGGCTCTTCCATCCAACATTATCCTTGTCACGATGACCAAACAGCTAATTTCTTTTTTTCTCACCTGACTCCAAGCTATAAACTATTTCAGCCTTACATCCTATCTTGATAAGTAATAGATGTTCTATTACTACTTTATTGTAGCTGGTATTATCTGTTTTTAAAAGATAGTAAATGTGTTTTTTTGTTATCATATGAATCTGTACGCACAACCTGACAAATCTGTGTGGATTAAATAAAATTTGTCCAAATTTTTGCTTTCAAAACTCGTTGCAGAATTATGTTATATAATCCTTTCAAACAGGGAAAAGTTGAGTTTAAATGCATTCTTAATGTTTGTGCTCTGGTGGTTTACCATGTCGATGATTTGTGAGAGTGTAACCTGCAGAGTCACATTCAGGATGTTATTTGTGTCCTCCACAGGCCTCAGCGCACTTGTGTAGTTGGTCATTAGGTCTGTCAGGAGCTTTTGGGCATATTTGGCATATGCACCCTCACACGCTTCGACAGAAATAAAAACAAACATAGAATTTTGCATTAAGAAAAATTGCACAAAGGGAGATTAAATGATGTGTTTCTTTGCATTTCAGGGCATTGACATACAAACACGTTAGAGCGGACAAGAAGACAAACGTAACAGAAAATGTGACTGCCTGAAAATCCCTTTCTGTAAGTATCTAAAAATAAGAGTTCATGAAAATTTTATTTCATGTCAAACAGACATATTAATAAATTTGAAAATGAATTTAGTAGGACAAGGTGTATCTACAATGGCAACAATTGATGAAAAGTTCAGCTTTGGCTGCATACATGGATTTGTGCAGTCCAGATGTCAACCCTAAATCACAGTTTAAATAAAGCCCCTCAGCTGGACAGCTTGTCTGTGGGATTATTGCATCACAATCTCTTATGACAGGTTGAACAGGTCACACGTTCGAGAACTCTGAAAAAAGCTTGAGGATAAAAGGAGGGGATATGAGAATAAATGTAAATCACATGATATTAAAAAGGTTGAAAACAACAATTCAGCAGTTCTACAGCTTTTTATTTATTCTTATGAAGGGTGCTAAAGTTAAACCACAGAAGGAATCAACAATATAGGAAACTAAAATAAAAAAAACATGAAGGATTCTGGGAGAATCAAACATTTTGTCTTGGTTCCAATCGACTATTGCGACTCATTTTCAAAGCATAACTGATTGGTTTTTGACAGTACTTGTTAGGGTGGGAGACACAGGAATTATCTTAAGCATTGAAAACCACAGCTTTAGCTCATCAGAAGCTACACTCAGTTACACTAAGAAATCTAAAAGTTCCTATAAACTTTGGGGCACTTAAAGGCAACTTGTGGAAAAACTGAAAGATTATTAATATACCATCTTATCTTAACCCAACATGGACATATTTACAAAAGGGAATTTAAATGGTGTCTCCAGTTGAAACTATGATGAAACAGAAAATCCTAAAAATCATAGGATTTTCATGATGTTTCAAGACTTGGCTTTATTCCTGTGAAGTTCTCGGGGGATTTTTGTCGGCTAATTATGTCGCCATGGTACCACGGTAATAACATGAAATCGAGCAGGAACCCTGCATTGCTATGGCAGACCCCAATGAGTGCTTGAAATATTTCACTCTGTTGGATGCAACACAAGGTTTATTTTATAAATCGAAAAACTGAAATGAAAAAAAAAATATTCAATGGTATTTTAATTTACAGTATATCTATTTTAGACTGTATTTGCTGTTATTGCCTGTCACTTCGCAGCTGTTGCACAGTAATCCCCTACTTATACGACAATAAAGGTGTTTATGTTATAAAAAAAATCTAAAATGAAAAAAAATAGAAACTTACTTGTCACGGCCCCTAAGAATAGAAATGAATGAAGTAAAGTCGGACTTCTCCAACGTATCATTTTCCAAAGCAAAGTACCTGCGGCCAAGGACTTAATAATAATAATAATAATAATAATAATAATAATAATAATAATAATAATAATAATAATAATAATAATAACAGTAAAGGCGCTTATTCCTGCTGTAGCGTGTGTAATGTCAGCCTCTCCTCTTCAGCGCAAATATTTGGCTCATGCAGATTGTCAGTTTTGATAACTGCACTAGTATATCCTACGCACACATGCCATTACATGACGCAGTCTTCCGGAAGGCGTGGGCGAATGCGAGCATTGGATTTACAGGGCGTTTAAAAAGAAAAAAAAAGAAAAAAAACTGTTAAACAAGCCGTCACACAAGCCCAGAGTGAACTGATGAAGGACAAAAGATTGGTCGTTGTTTTTCAGCACCGCGGAGAGCGTCCAGAAACAAAGCGCTGCTGACGCAGCATTTTGTTTCTTTACGTCGCATCCCTTTGATCAGTTGCTCTGATTCGTTTTCGTTTACTATTAAAACGATTTCCATTATTTTGACACATTTTGCTCACGGCTCGCCGTCTCTTCCGGAAACTGCAATTCTCCTCCCACTCGTGTTTTTCCCCCTATCCTCCACGCAAGGATGACAGCAGCATCCTTAGGCCTGCTATCAGCTGTTAGGAACATCTGGACATAGAATTATAAAGATGAACGTTTAGGTGGTGAAGATGGCTGGATGACGTCCCAGTCTCTTCTTCCTGGCTCGATGGGATCGGAGATTTGCAGCTCCTTCGCACACTGACCTGACATTGTTATTGTTGAGCCAGTTGTAGCTGCAGCGCCTGCTGGGCAGCAGTGAGCTGGGTGGAGGTAAGGGTTTTACAGAGTGCGTCCTTTTAGAAACAAGGCACACATGAACGAATTTATCAGGATGAAGATGATTACTTCATGGCTCAAATCCTAGCCGGGCATGGCATGCACACTACTAATTATTATTAGAGTAAATATGTATCATGCATGCATAATTTTTTGTGAATAGAAATACGTTGCCACTTTTGTGATAGTGTGATTGTTACTTACTTTTTTTTTATGTTTCTGTGCTTGCAGGGTAAAATGATCCAAGGCTCAAACATTTTGGGCTATGAGAGGCCCCTGGTCATCAGGATATCATTCGCCACTTGTATTGTAGTTACTGTGTGCCTGCCACTGTTAGGACTCATCACTTGCGTCTCCATATCCTCTCTCTTTCACTTTGAAGATGCTACTGGTACACATTGCCAGGTAATTTGTTATTTTCCATCAGCTTTCTGGAAATGGTTCCTATGTTAGAAATTGTTTCTCGTTACCAAGAAACCATTATTATTACCATTATTCCTGGTGGTAATAAGAAATCATTTTCTTTTGTGAAAAGAAATCATTTTCTTTTGTCTCAAGATCAAAGGTGTCTTAATATAAACAGGTTTTTTTCCAGTTGCTTCTATACTTCTTAAGTATTTTTTAATTGAAACTTTTCCTTTCAGTACATTTATTCATAAAGAATACCATGTTACACAAATCATGGCATCACAAATCCTCTACTGTACTTAAACAGTGTGCATTGAGTAATTTTCAGTATTGCCAGCAGAAACCTCAATTTTACTATCACTTGATCAAAACACAGAGAGAAGCAGAGTTTACATTAAAAATGTTCCTAAAATGTGTTCTTCCCACATCAAAGCATTTTTTCTTATACTGAAGGTTGTTGGTTTTTCAATTCAAAATATTTCACTACACATTATCCAGTTGCAACAAAATAAAACTTTGATTTTACATGTCTTTTCTTTGGTATTTTCTTCTTCTTCAGATCCTACAGCTATGTAAAAAAGTAGAATACATTCCTCCTTCTTTGTCTTTAGGTTCCCAACTACCTGCCATCCATCAGTGCCTCTATCAGCCTCAGTCCTGAGTGCCACATCTGGCGGTTCTGCATCGGACTCCACTCTGCTCCGAGGCTTCTGGTGGCCTTTACCTACTTCAGGTTTTACAAGTCCCGCTTTGCTGCCAGGTCCTCCGAGAGCGCACTCAGCTGCTTGAACTTGACCTTTTCCGTTTTTGAGAACCTGGGCCTGCTGCTTCTTACATATGTGTCATCTAGTGAGACGTACTGTGAGTGACCCAGTTTTAATACACCACAAGGCATGCATCCAGTTTTTTCTTTTGATGGCGGAGTCTGTCTTTTGGTTCATACATTTCTTTACAAATTTAGCAATTATTTTGCTACTGAGTCATCATGTAGAATATTTTTGCTGCCTGTTTCTGATCATGTTTTCTCTTTCCTCCCTGTACAGTTGTGCATAAGGAAGGCTTTGTCCTCTTCATTGTGAGTTCACTTATCTACATGCTGATAACCTGTCGTTTGTGGAGATCAATTAAGAAGTATTCATTAAGTCCTGAGGTAAAGAATAGTAAATATAAAACACCACAATGCAATTAAAGCTATCTGCTTTAATTGCAGTATTTGAGCCTTGTTTGTGATGTCATTTCCTCCTTAAAGGATGCCAAGTCTCATCACTGGAAGGTTCGCTTCTTACTCCTCAATGTTTGCTTCTGTGCTTTTGCTGGATTCTTTTACTGGAAACACAACATGTACTGTGAATCAGGAAGTAAGTTTCACCTTGTGTTATGTTTGATATTTTAAAACGCTGACACAAAAGTTGACAAAACTCACACAAGAAATAAACCTAAAGTTTTGCATAAACATCACAAAAAAGTGATAATTATTAAGGGAAATAAAAATTATACATGTTTTGAGACTATTTCAACAAATAAAAATAGGAAAGGTGTGGCATGGATATGTAATTTCAACTTGTAATGAGACAAAAATAGTGATGAATATTTTTGTCAAGTCATGTATCTGTGTCATAAACATTATAAAATGCTGACCAACACATGCATGTTGTTATTTACAGGTTACACCTTTTTTGCGCTGTTTGAGTACCTTGTCGTCTTCTCCAATATGGCCTTCCATCTGACAGCAGTTTGGGATTTCAAGAGTCGGGAGGTTGTGGTCATTTCCTCCTTTGAGGACAAAGACTTCTGACTAGAACCTAAAGATGAGCAGGATAAATGTGCTGGAACTAAACCACATGATGAAGACAGCAGCGATCCCGTTGAAGAAGATTGGGATGGGCTTTTCCACATTTTTTCATAAGGACTTAAGACTTAAGAGCTTAAAGTGAGTCAATGTCAGTCAAGTGCAAACAGATGATACACACATATATATACATGATGGATGGAGAAACAGCTTATGTTCCAATGTGACTTATGGTTGCCTTCAATTTTACATATTATTTTAGGTGATGTGAAATTTTACTTTGACATCAAGCACAGCAAGTACTGTATGTCTGTCAAAGTACATAATATGTGTTTTAGTAATCTGAATACATCCTCAGAAGTAATTGCTTCAAACACAGAATTTTATATCTTTCACAAAGTATATTATTCATATTGTTGTTGAGACCTGGAAGTGGTGTTCCAGTTGTGTTTTATAATAAGCATTTAAACCCAAAATAATATTAGTTTCTCTGCTGAAGAATAAACTTACTTTCATTGATCGCCAATAAAACTGCACATACCTTCAGATTGCCATAGATGACAAAAGTCAGATGTTGTCTGTCATTTGAACCTTTTTAGTTACGTTTTGTTAATAAAGTATTCGTTACGGAGGAACACCTTTTGTCTACATACAACACTAACAGTGATGCTTGTTTAAAATAACAGTAAATGTGTTGCATATTACATTGTGCCGCTTCAAATGTGCCTCACTCACTGCCTTCACAATCTGCTTATTTGTATATGAAACTTTTTTCATAGAGATCTAAAAAAAAATATGTTTCAGTAATTCCCAGAATTTATCCATTTTTATTTAAAAGCAAAAAAAAAAAAAAAAAAAAAAAAACATAGTGGTTCTGTTGGACTCCAAATATTAAAATGTATAAAATTATAGGAGCCTTATAATTTTTTTTCCCTATGAATTGGAAAAATCGGAATTTTAAATGCAGGAAAATTATTTGCTTGAAGGCTTTTGCAATGCTTCATTGTGTCCATTAGATGGCTCAGTGCCTCTGCACATGATTGTACGTTACAGATGTTTTCCGTGGAGTAATATCTCCCACGCCATTACGTCCAACTGTGCGCATCCGTACAATTAGTTGTTTCTCCATTAATCCACGGTCTGTAAACGGCCTGATTTGATACCGGTGTTAATCTAACATCTAATCTGTCAGTCAACCAATCCGTGCAACTCTGCATTTATTTGTTCTACATAGTTCTCGTAATGTTTGCATAACAAACTCAAACACTCGATCCTGTTTAAAGGGCACTGTTGCACAACTTTGCTAACTCTAATCTCACATTTTTCATTTAAAAACACTAAAAAGAAAGCAAGTTATTTTCACTACCAGAAGGGATGCAGAACAGGAACAGCAGGATCAAAATAATTCACCAGGAAATTAAAAATTAATTTAAAATCAATCAAATTGATCTTGGCCACTTGAAAACCTTCAATCTGATCTTGCTCAACAAGTAGCAAAAATGTGAACATAATATTGCATTTAAATAATTGCGCCATACTAACAAATTATTGAGTTATTTGGTTTTCCTAAAAAAAAAAAGAATAAAAATAGGGGCTGTTCTAGAGCCTCCCTGCATTGCTGTTACACACTATGTTAAACTTCTGTTATCTGCTGTTTGCTCTGATGATCAAAGCAAACATCTGTTTGAAACATTTATGAATGAGTTATTTTCTAGATATCTGCTGGAGAAACACACATGAAGTGAAGTTAGGCGGGGGTTTTGTTATCTGCAGCTGTTTGATAGATAGTAACTCAGAGGATCAGTGCAGTCAGACATGGGTCATCCTGGGAACCAGACATGGACATGGATTCTGTGGGTCTTCTTTTGTGCAACATGTGTTGGTCCAACCTTCGCCGATCCGTGAGTTTATATGAACTTTTCAGAAATATGTTTATAATTAATTTAATTTGAATATAAATTGTGGTAGTTTTTCACTCCCAAGAAAATTCAGACCACTAAAATTACAACTGTATGTGTGAATCTGTCTGTAGATATTACATGGTGACCATTCCTGCTGTCCTTGAAGCTGGAGCTCAGACCAAATTCTGTGCGAGTCTCATGGAGCCCATTGAGACGCTGACCATGATCGTCACTTTGAGGTCTCAAGAAAATAATACCATCCTGCTTGACAAGACCTCTGGGGAGGAGTTTCATGAATGCATTCAGTTTCAGGTCAACTTTCAAGAAAACCTGGCACTGCATGCTTTTTATTAAAATGCAAACATCTATTATTTCAAAGGTAACACTGTCACGAGCAACAATTTCATGTTTCACATCATTGCAAAATTTTTGTTGACATAGGTCCCTTTAGTAAAAAAAGAAGAGGTGCAGACATTTGAGGTGAAGGTGAGAGGAAACACATTTTACTCAGAAGAAGTCAGGAAAGTCCTAATCAAAGCCTACCAACCCATGACCTTAATCCAAACAGACAAACCAATCTACCTCCCAGGACAGACAGGTAATTGGGATTACCAGAAAGAAATCAATGCTCTCTTTGACAAGTTAATGCTGTTCACCTAAAACATCCATATGATCTAAAACTTCTCGTAGTTCATTTCAGAGTGTTCACAATGGATACAAAGTTCAGACCAGTAAATCAGTTGGTAAGTAGCTAAATATAATTGTTTAAAAAAAATCTATTTAGCATACAAACAAATCAAAGGGTTTGTTTGATTACTGTTCTGTATGTATTACGCGCACCCTAGAAGTGGGTCATGTTAATGTTTAAAAGTGTAGGATTAGGAGTCCAAAGACAAAATACTTTCAAATCATTTCAAGAAAGATGTGGGAACATGAAATGTATCCAATCTGCCAGTTGTTTTCAGAAAAGGTTGCTTCTGGTCTCAAACCTTCACAGCTGTTCTGGCCAGCCTGGTTTGCTACCAGAAGCATTTTCATTCTATCTTCATAGCTTTGCATTTTAAAACTATTTGATGAGGGTGATGCAGCCTTGTGTGCTGCTTAACTAAAGATCTGTTATGTCAGTCTGCTGAAAGATCGATAGTTTGAGCAAGTAGCTGTTTGTAACAAGTTTCTAAATTCAGTTTATTTTTTTGTCTATGCATCAGTAAACATAATCCAATGAGGCCATCATGCATGAAAATGCATAACTTGCACCAGAGAATGATAATGAAAGTTTCAATATTATTCTCATTTTTACTTTACTCAGATTTTTCTTTTTCCTCTCTTTGTCCAACAGTACTCGGTCATTGAACTAGAGGTAAGAAAATACAAACTGTTTAACCTGCAGGTTTGTTTTTTGTTGTTGTTGCCAAAACTGGTATTTCTTCTTTCTATCCAGCTCTGCAATTAGAAGAAAACAACACAATGCAGATCACATTTTAGCTTTCTTTTTCAATCATTTTGAGGATTGTTTGTGTCATTGCATGAAGTGTGTTGTTCTTATGAGAGGAATCTGACAGATTATCTCAGCCAAATTTCCATTTATATGGATTTTATCTTTTTTAATCCAAGTGTCCATTGCAGATAATACCAGTTTCCACATATTTCAGATTTACTTTTTAAGTACATTTTCTATTTGCGGGATTAGATGTTTTTCTGATATTAGATGTTTTTCTGCCTCGTGACAGAGCTTCATTGCCTAATTATTGGTTGATTTTGTTCATTAGAAATTAATTAAATAATAATTATAAAAGTGATTTAAATGTAATGATGTAATTTTATTTATTATTAGAAGCTCCAATAAATAATTCATTTCATAAATAGACCCTCACTGAAATGTCCAGATGGTCCTGACAGTTCATCTCTGATCTATCGTCTCTCATTGTTTTGAACAGAATCCAAACAAGAACAGAATCGGACAGTGGCTCAATGAAACATCCACCAAAATACTGCAGCTCTCTTACTCCTTAAACTCTGAAGCCCCTGAAGGATCGTACAACATCATAGTTACAGTCGGTGAACATAAGAACTATCACCATTTCAAAGTGGAGAAATATGGTATGTTAGGAATGTTTTCTTTTTTTAAGAAAATCTCTTAAAGTCTACCTGGTAACATGTGCTGTTTTGGTGTTCAGTCTTGCCCAAATTTGATATAAACATGAATGTAAAAGAAGAAATCTGTATTGCACAAGAAGAGTTTGAAACCAAAGTATGTTCAAAGTAAGTAATTTTTTTTTTCCTGGCAAATAAATATCAGAACTTAAAAAATAATAATAATACAGTTATTCTCTGCTGATGAATCTGTACTAATTTAACCAGGTACACATTCGGACAACCTGTACTAGGAAATGTTACAGTGAAGGTGTGCCGACCTCTTGAGAGGTCTAGAAATCTAGAGGAACCTCAGACAACACCTCCCTGTGCGACAATGACAAAGCAGGTAAAGTTACCCACATCTACACTGTATCTACAGGTATCCATACTAAAATGCACACCACATAAATAATGTTAAAAACAAATTGACAAATAATTATCACATGTGCATCCAATAATTTAAATCTAAGGACAAACATTACAGGTTAAAAATCCTAACCTCTTTATCGCTGAGTGGACCAGGATGTTGGTCTGTCGTTTACAGAAAACATCAGTCTAAAATGACTGTTTTCACCTTTTGTTGCATTCATCTCAATTATTTTTTCTTTGCTTTGACTTTTTAGGTGGACACAACAGGCTGTAATACATTTGAATTTAAAATGTCAAGTTTCACCAAAATAAGACCAAACTTAGCAAAAAATAGACTTGACATAAGTGCCACCGTGGAAGAGGAGGGAACAGGTTAGTCCAGCGACAGTACTCGACTCTTTCTTTTTTAAAGCAGTCTTTCAAAATAATTTTTCAGATGTGACAATCAGATCACAGTTTTGTTTTACTTTTAGGTGTTTCATATTCTCAGATGGTGAAAATACAACTTTCATATGTTATTGGAAGGCTGGCTTTTGTTGATCTTCCCAAGATTTATGTCAAAGGCTCAAATTTGGAGGGAAAAGTAAGAATAATTCAGAGCAGTGAAAAAAAATGTTTCTCTCCTCACAGACTTCATGTGCTTTGCTTATTTGTCACACTTGAATGTTAGCTCATCAAACAAATATTAATATCAGATAAGGAAAAGCACTATTTTTAATCCAGATTTGTGCTTTTGACAGATCAAAGCTGTTCACTATAATGGGATGCCCATTAATAACATGACGCTGTACTTGATTGAGGGTCATATTTCGTCTTCACGCTTACTGCAGAACCTCACAACCGACCCTGATGGCTTCGCCACTTTCACTATCAGCACAGACACTTTTGCTGGAGCTATTTTCCTAGGTGTAAGTAAATCATGGTTCTCAACTTGCAATTGTACTGCACTACAAAAACAATAAAACACAATTTCAGTTTACCTTCTAACCACTGTCGGCTCTGTCTAAAATATTTTTCGTATGATCAGGTAAGCAGCTCACCAAGATTGAGGTTCCCTCCGAGTAGAACGGCTCACATTTCCTCAGAGCGTCATGTCGTTCAGGAGTTTTCACCTCCCTCTGCTGATACTAAAACTACCAGCTCATTGAAGATAAAAAAGAGCAAAAGAGCACTTCAGTGTGACAAAGAGGTGGAAATCTCCATTAATTACACATTTGTGCTTGAATCACAGTCATCTGTGAATATTATGTACCTGGTGAGTATTTTCTCAGTCATCACCACTGAAGATTTTTAAATAGGTTTTAAAATTGAGTATAGTTAGCTGCTGCAAGTCGAAGCTTAGCAACTCTTCATATGGAAAAAATCTGATTTATTAAGAGTGTTGCTTTTTTTCAATTTAGTACAGCATTATCTTCTTCTAAATAGTCAAAGAATATATTTTATTGTGATCCGTAAAAGTTTTCCTGTACAGTATGTGACACAAAAGAGACACAAAAAAACAAATAACTGAATTTTGATACAACCATTTATATTTACAAATAGTCATGACATCACTATATGGCTCAATTAAATTATACAAAATTAAAAGCTCAACCTAAGATGATACTTCTCATGATACTTTCAAACACAGTGTTGCTTTGCAACGTGATGTTTATCAGAAGACTTTGACTTGTCTTAAATTTTTGAATCTCAATCGTGGGATGTGTAGATTTATAGATCCGTTACCTTGTAATCACATAGATGAGATTTACAGCGGATGAGTAGATTATTCAGATCTAAACTAAACACATTCTGATGAATGGCACCATTCAGTGTTCTTTGCAGGAACTCACAGTTATATTACTTGATGAAAGTCCTCCAACACTGAGGACATCTCGTGTCCAAAACTCCTTTAAAATGACCCGACAGACTTTTATCAGACTTAGTTTTGAAATCTGACTAAGCCATTTTAAAACTTTGGACTTTGATGCATGATGGGATGGACTGAGAAGTCCAATTCTTTCTCAGGCGTCTTGCAGACACATGAAGGTTTGGGGTCAAAACTAACTGGTATTCAGAACTGTTCATATTGCGAAAGGCCAAATCATCTTTAACTGATTTCTTGAACATGAATTGGAGTTCAGTGGACTCTAATGACCTACATAGTCAGCAGCTCAATGCAATAGAGCATCAATAAGTCAACTGTTCTTCCTATCTGTTATATGTGTTGTCTATTAAGACAATACAGGAAACAGATATTATGTCTGTTATTTGTTTGCATAACAACCATGCATTGCATTAATTTCCCCTAAAAATCAACAGGTCTTATATAGAGGAACTATTGCCAGAGGAGGACAAACACAAGTTCAAGTGGAAGATAAACCAGGTGTGTAAATACTGACTCTTCATGAATTCAAAACATTTCAGGTTTTAATTTTACAATGCTTGAACTGACTTCTTAGTCAGTTCAAGTGTTAGGTTCGAAGGCAAAGAAACACCTTTTGGACTCAAAATGGCAGAATAATATACACACCAAAAAGAAAAGAAAACGTTTTGTTATGTGGGAACTATTAATTGAATCTTTGGAGCCACAAGCCCCTTATACTTGGGAATTGTTATGTAGGATATGGGGAGTTTTCAGGAAGAATAGAGTCTGCAGTTTTGTAGAGGAGTGAGGAATTCATCACTTTTGCAATACAAACTCAACTTTTGATGAAGTGTGCAGTTTTGTTAGACCTTTGGTAGACCCAGCTGCGCACTGTCCAAGGATGCAAGTGCCAAATACACCAATTTTGATTTAAAAAAAAAAAAAATAACTCAACATAGTGGAAAAAACTATTAATTAAAAAATGTGTGTTTGTTTTTATTTTAGTTTTCATGTTTCAGTTGGTTTGTTATTCCTATGTGTTTGTTTTCGGGATTCCAATTTGCAGAATGTTATGGTCGATTGAACATACCAGTTTCTTGTCAGAACTGCTTAAGGGAATGCTGCCAATGCAAAACAGAAGCAGCTGACATAATAAAAAAGGAAAAACAAAAGTTAAATTAATAAACTGATCATCCAGGTTTAAACTCTCCCCAACTAAATCAACAAAAATCCAAAGAAATGTATTTATAAATGAATTAAATTTTGTCTACAGAAAGTAAATAAATGCAGCAATCCCTCATAGCATGACTAACAGCTGGACGTTGTTTGTTCTTTCAGTGAATGAAGGCGTGGTGTCCTTCAAGCTGCACGTCTCTCCAGAAATGGCACCTGTGATCCATGTTGTGGCTTATGCTGTCCTCTCCAACCAGAACGTGATTGCTCACAATGCCGAGTTCTCAACAGAAAAATGCTTCAGTAATAAGGTCAGCAAATAAGAGAACAAGCTGCAGCAAATATAAATTACACTAGCATCATGTCTAGTCCTTATATTAACTTCTAAAGAAGCAATATATTTTGCGCTAAGCACGTCAGATGTTTTACACTGCAATGTAAAACGTTTATTCAGAATAAGACAATTTATTGGGTAAATAATGTTACAGTTGAATTAGATACACCAAGTAAAAAGATATATGCACTTTTTTCTCTCAGTCTGAAGTAAAATAAGACCAAACTTTTCTTGTTTTAGGTGCCTGATTTTTTTTCTTACTTCTCAAAACATAAAGCAGTTTGTTTCAAGTGTTGTCTTAAAATATATATATCAGTATGTATCAGTTAACCTAGAAGCTTCCAGAGTTATGACATCATCATCTGGGCTTTCCCCCATGGCTTAAAGAGACACTTAATAATTCTGAATGTAAACTTTTGATTTAAATCTCTGGCATATTCTTTCTCTAAATATTCTGGTATTTAGCAGGTAGAAGTAATTTTGATAATTCTAGAAACAGATGTTTAGTCAGATTTAACTTCAGATGCTGAGAAAAAAAAAAGTTGGATGTGAAATTGTATTTTTTGTGTGAAAACGTCTGGTTCCAACTGTATGTGTAAATGTTGTGTCCTCATCAGGTGTCGGTGGAGTTTTCTCCATCATCAGCTGTTCCAGGAGAGGAGACAAAACTGCAGCTGACGGCCCAGCCTGACTCCCTGTGTGGCGTCAGTGCCATCGATCAGAGCGTCCTCATCAAGGAGCCTGGAAAGACTCTGGATGAAGACAAGGTGACAGCTAACAACATTTAGCCTCCTTCAGAGACATACTGTCTATGGTTATGATTTGAGATAAAAGTGAAGCTCTTAAGCTCTTTTTTCCTACTCAGACAGAACCAAAGCAAAAATATTGAAGGCTTCCCAGCTCTTGTTCTAGAAAAAGAACATAGTTATGTTCCATAGTTATGTTCTTTTTCCACAGATTTTTGCATCATTTCCTGTCAGGAAAATATTATACATACCATACAAAGTTCATGATCCCAGAAAATGCTTGAATGTGAGGATGAAGAGATATTTTTCACCTACTGAAATAGAGGAAGCCCATACAGTTTTCCAGGTACCCAGTTTGCAACAACCATACAATACAAACATATTACAGTAAATATACATCATGTAAACATATTGTTCTATGTATGTTGTGCTGTTTGTCTTAAACTGTGTAGAGAGTAGGACTGAAAACAGCCACAAATTTGCTGATGAGCATACCCACATGTCTCAAATTCAAGGGGAGAGAATATAATTACGGTATGTTGTGACATCTTCAGAGCTGTCAACAAGTAGGACAGTTTTTTAATTCACTTCTAAAATGGAAAAAAAAAAGTGTGCCACTGTTTCTCTTTCTCCTGGTTCTTTTAAGTCCCATTACTGCAATCTGGAACATCACCTGGTTTGGGAGGAGTAATGAGGTCTGGGGTTTCGGGACTAGTGGAAACAGTTCGCACTTTCTTCCCTGAGACCTGGATATGGGACATGGTGGAAACAGGGTGAGTCTTTAGAAGTAATGGTAATAATAATTCAGATTATATACAATAGACATATTGCCCAGACATCATCTTATTTTTATTCAATTAGCATGAGCAGTTGGCATTTATGTTTAATTGTAAGGAAGTAATTGGGAAACATTTTAATGTCTCCAAATCCTTTCTTGGGTGCTTGGATGCCCCACTGTGGATAACTTATAGGGGCAGTAGTATTGTGTATTCTGTACATATCTATTGATCCCCAATATCTATTGATCCAGATCTTCTGGAACCAAGAAAGTGTCCCTCACAGTCCCAGACACCATCACCACCTGGGAGACGGAGGTTTTCTGTTTGTCCCCTCAAGGTTTTGGCTTGGCTCCTCGTCAGAAGCTCACTGTCTTCCAGCCTTTCTTCCTGGAGCTCACCCTGCCCTACTCCATCATCCGGGGGGAGAACTTTGAGCTGAAGGCAACCGTGTTCAATTACCTGACTAAATGCATTATGGTAATTTCCCTTAAGTTGATACAGAACAAATGGAACAAAGTTATTGAATAATGCATGCCATACAACTGTGACAAGACAAGAAATAAACCGGAAATAAAGGAAATAAATAATGAAGTAACTAATAGTAATAAATGACAAAATAAAATAATAAATATAGAAAAATAAAATATAATTAATTCAAATAATAAAGAAAAGAAAAAGCTTTCTTTGTTTGATCAACAGATATGTCCCATCACTTTAGCATATCTAAAATCAATTGGTTTAAAATGTTTAAATAATTTTGCGTATACATTACTTAACTAACAGATGCTAAGTTTTGTAAGATTGCTTTTCGTTTGTATTTGAAACACTTACTGTAAAGGTTCTGGGTATTTTATGAGGTGGATGCTGTAAAAAAAATGTCTCTGGATTATAATAAGTATATTTATTATATATTTATATATAATAAACATATGATATATATACAGTATATATCCAGAGAAAAGCCGTTGTGGTAGATGTAGCAATACCAAGCGACTGCAACATCAGGAAATAGGAGCACGAGAAACTGGAGAAATACCAGGGCCTCAGGGAGGAGCTGGAGAGGGCCTGGAAGGTGAAGACCACAGTGGTGCCTGTGGTCATCGGGGCCCTCAGGCCAGTCACCCCAAAACTGGAGCAATGGCTAGAAGGGAATTTTTATATATATATATATATATATATATAGATATATATACATATATATATATATATATATATATATATATATATATATATATATATATATATATATATATATATATATATATATATATATATATATATATATATATATATATTTTTACCTTTCAGTCAGTTTTGAAGCTCTTTCTCTGTGGTTATAGAACTAATTTGAACAATATATCTCTCTTGAATAGGTTAGAGTGTCAGCCGCCCCCTCTTCAGATTACAGCCTCATCCCCCTCTCTGGGGACCAATACATATCCTGTCTCTGTGCCAATGAGCGGAAGACCCTCAGCTGGACCATGAATCCCACCACCTTAGGTATGAATCACATTCCTGACCGATGCCTGGCGGAAAGAACTGATTACAATTCAACCTTCGCGTTTTCATTTTCTTCCGTGCTCCTCCAACCTCCTTTTGTGATACCTTTAGAAGTTACAGGAACTGAACATTTGATCTCTAATGATGTTTTTCAGGAGTTGTGAATGTGACTGTGACTGCTGAGGCTGTTCCGTCCCACGTTTCTTGTGGCAATGAGATTGTGAACGTTCCTGAAAGAGGACGTGTTGACGTTGTCACACGTTCTCTCATCGTTAAGGTTGGTGGCATGAAACAAGACATCCACTAAATGACATTGGAACAGTTGTTGGCATTTTACCAGATTTCAAAGTAATCTCAACAAATAATACTAAAACTGGAATTCATCTTGAAGTTTTCCTCACATCTCTCAGGCTGAAGGAATTGAAGTATCAAAGACTTACAACTGGCTGGTATTTCCCAAAGGTCAGTGTGTTTTTCACCAAACAATAAACATGAGACCCAGATGATAAAGATCACCTGTAATCCAATGCATTGGATTTTAACAATGTGTTAGCTTCTTTGAAATATTATTAGAATTGATGGAATCACACTAAGAAATGCTTCAAATTAGGATTTTAGTGTTATCGTCCTATTGTGAAATTAAAATGTCAACTTATTTCCTGATTTTTGTCAGTAAGCATACTGTGAGTTCTAAAGCTTCAGTTTGTGTCTATTAGTTGAAAGTGTACTCATTCTTATAATATTGCTAATGGCATAACAATTTCCTCATGCATGTAGCAACATTATGTCAGATCTGAATGGAGTTGCTGATTATATGATTCGGTGTGTTTTGGTTTGGTTACCATAAAAATAAGGCGAACCAAACATCTACTTTGTGACAGATTATCAGCAGAGCAAGTGTTTAAATTAGCTAACCAACCACCGCGAGTGTTCGTACTATTAGGATAAATTAGGATATAACTAAAAAGGTCATTTATTAGCAATTCCATCACTCAGTGAAAGATAAAAAACTGATGTTTCTACATCCTTACGTCTCTTAGGATGTCTTATACCTTCTGAGAGGTTTTTATTTTCAATGAATACTATCAATCTGACAAGCCTCATCAGGATGCATCTCCTAAGTTATTGAGTAAGAATGCTTGGGATTCACATATAAGTTTTGCAACACAAAGTTGGTTATACATTTTTGTTTTCCATTTATGACTTAATATAGTTTCTGTCTGCACAGATAAAGCTTTGACAGAAGAAACAGAGATACGCCTCCCTGAAAATGTGATCGAGGGATCGGCCAGAGTGACAGTGTCAGTGCTGGGTAAACTCATTTTAGAAATTTCTTAAAAACATCTGAGCTTATTTTACAATATATTTTCTATATGATGGTAAGCTAACACATAGGAATAAGTAGGAATATTAGTGTTTCCAACACTTGCATCTAGATTACTATCAATTTGAAGTGACAGAAATCTGAAGCATAAGATATTTCAAAAGACTGGTGAGCTAATTTAATGAATGTGCTCGTTCTTAAAGTCAGATCAGTGTTATGTTTAAATGAGTATGGATTTCTGTACAGGTGACATTATGGGCCGCGCTCTGAAGAACCTTGATGACCTGCTGCGGATGCCCTATGGATGTGGGGAGCAGAACATGGCTCTTCTGGCCCCAAACATCTATATCCTACAATATCTACAAAGTTCACAGCAGCTGACCTCAGCCATTAAGGAAAAGGCTTCCAACTTCTTAACCAGCGGCAAGTCTAATAAAGTAGCTATTGTAATAAAATATTTAGGACGCTCAAGTTCATTCATGTGTTGGGTCCTCAGAGAGTGGTGGTATAACCTACTCTGAAAATAAACCCAATTATGACTCCACCTCAACAGCTCCATTAGGGTAAAGAGTCGATCTGCATCTCTAGAATCAGAATGAAGCCACTCTGCTTCTTGTATGTCCGAGATTTGGCTTGTAGTCCAGATTATGGACATCTTATCAAGTTTCTGTTCTTTAGGCTACCAGAGACAGTTGAACTACAAAGACAGCAAAGGTGCTTATAGCACGTTTGGGAAAGGGCCTGGAATCACCTGGTGAGAACATCACTGACCCATCACCATGTTTTCTATTACTTTTATTTGTTTCCATCTAGTTTCCTTATCTAGATTCTTTCTTTACTTTGTTTACTTGTTTTTTCTTTCTTAGGCTGACCGCTTTTGTCCTAAGATCTTTTTACAAAGCTCAATCTTTCGTCTACATCGATCCAATAAAGATTGACCAATCAAGGACTTGGCTGGAACAAAAACAACATAGCAGCGACTGTTTCAAACAGTCGGGACAACTCATTCACAAAAGTATGAAGGTAAGTCAGTTATTTTCAGGTGTATTTGACACCATGAAGAACCCTCCAACCTGAATAGGCACAAGTTCTGCTGAAGTCACAATTGTTGAAGGTATTGGTGGACTCTCTGAGTGGGTCGTCACAATGACGACCCACATTTATTTTCAAAGTTGTTACTGCAACAAAAACATATTTCTTGATAGCTTCTTTTCCCTGTATTATGAACATCCGCTATTAGCAGGCTCTTTGTGATGCTTGTACCCCCAGGGTGGGGTGTCCGATGAAATCACACTTACTGCTTACATCACCGCTGCCTTTTTGGAAATGAAAATATCCACGAATGTAAGTAAGCAAATCCTAAAAAAAAATAATAATAATTTCTTGGCTGCTTTTAGTCGGTCATTTATGATATTACAATTAAAATAGCTTATTTTTGCTATTTTTAATATTTATTTATATCTTTATTTATGTCTTTAACATGAAATCAGGCAAAACTTTTTCTCTTTCTTAAGTCTTTGGGTTTCTAAAGTTTTTTTTTCTAATGTCATAAATATTTATCAGTAAATAATCAAAATTGCTGAATGAAAATGTTTAAAATTAGACATGTAGGCAAAAAGCACAGATGTGAATTCTTAACATAAAGCAATGCAGATGTGACAACAAAGATTTGAGAAAATGTTTCTTTCAGTTATTAGAGACTTGACATTTGTCTTGGGAAAAATCACATGTAAATATCCCTGCGTTACAATCGAGCTTTAAAGCTGTAACTTTTTTAAAAAATCTACATTTCTTCCAAATACCACTAGAGGGAAGTGAAGTACTGCCAGTGCTCTTATTGCACTGGCAGTACTTCAGAAGATGAAGATTGTAACTGCGTATGAAAAGATAACTTGTTGCTTTGAACCTGAACATATTTCTATGGTCTTGTATTCTGTTAAAGGACTCTGTTGTCAGGAAGAGTCTGTCGTGCCTCAGAGAGTCCACCAATACCTTCAACAACACCTACACTACAGCTCTGCTGGCATACGTCTTCACTCTGGCTGGAGACATGGAGACCAGAAATCACCTCCTGCAGCACCTCGACTCAGTTGCAATAAAACAAGGCGAGTTCTGGTGGAAATATCTCAAGAGTTCACCACCATGACTCCATTAATGCTTGTTTGTTGGGTGGGTGACTGTTTATTAGGAAGGTCCATCCACTGGTCTCAGACAGCAGCAGAAACATCTGCCTGTCTGTCTGTGGAAATCAGCTCCTATGTGCTGCTGGCCAAACTCTCTTCCTCCCCCACTGCTGAAGACCTGGGTTACGCCTCGGGCATTGTTAGGTGGCTGACGACCCAACAGAACCAATATGGTGGCTTCTCCTCCACTCAGGTGTAACAATCAGAATTTATTCTTCATATGAAGGCCTTTTTTTTTTACTTTTGTGGCTGTACAATAGCATTTTAGTAAACCTTTAAAAGTATGTAATGCCTTGCTGAAACTGATGAATGAATGTGTTGACCCATTTTGGACATAACAGTACATGTTTTGCTTAGATTATATTCTGAAGTCTCTTTACTAGACAAACACTCAACAAGATGAATTCACTTTATGTTTTTCTGTTTATTTCCTGTCATGGTTCTGGTGGGATATCTTGTACATTATGTGTTGTAGGACACGGTGGTGGCTCTTCAGGCTCTGTCCCTCTACTCCAGTCTGGTGTTCAGGCCTGAAGGTTCCAGCACAGTGACAGTTCAGACTCCCAGCGGTCAGATGATGTTTGATATGAACCCAGACAACAAACTGCTCTACCAGGAGAAAATGCTGCAGAATGTGACAGGAAAGTACAGCCTGGAGGTAAAGGGGACTGCATGTGTCTCAGTGCAGGTCAGTGAACACGTCATGACAGACCAACACAAAGCAGCGCATGATTGTGAAAGAGAACAATCTGACAAGTGCAGTATCTGTTTGAATTCAACCCTGTGATTGAATTCAAACAGACTTGAAAAACTTCTTTATTTTCTGCAAGCCTAGTCATTGAGCATTTTTCTCATGCTGCTGTGCAAATTAGCTCAAGTCAGGTTGGACGGAGGTCATTTTCTCACTGTCACATAAAATTATGATAAAATACCTTGAAGTTTGTGTTTGTATAAAATATTTCAAGAGATGTGAACTCTGCTGCAAAACACTTTGTATGCAATAGATTTAACTATTGGCTTTTTTCTGATTAGATTTTATTTTAAATTGTAAAACACAGTCAACATTTTGCAAATATGACCTGAAGAAATTATTGTTTGTCTAGTTTTATTCTCTTAAGTAACCAACCTTTCTTGGTTACTTGCTCCTCAGATTTCTCTGCGGTACAACACCCCACCTCCTACTGACGCCTCCACTCTGAGTTTGGAGGTAAAACCACAAACTGACTCCTCTGGCAAAATGCCTAAAGTCACTCTGAGCCTCCTTTCCCAGTAAGTGATTAACGCCCTGGCTAAATAATATTATAAATACAATAGAATGAAAACAACCTTTATTCAAAGGAAAAATTGCAGTGTAGCAGCAGAATCAGATATAAAAGTTTACACAAAAACTTCTTAAAATGTTAAAAAACAAATAAATAAGATTAACAATAATAATGTACTGTTCAAGACTATAACAAAAAATCTGTGCAGTTATTAGAAATAGGCATGCATGAGTCACACATCCTAGGGGATGAGTGACTGCAGAATTTATAAATAGATAAATTAACTCCACCATCATAATGGTTGATGTGTTCCAGGTACAATGGAAAAGATGCCAGTACTAACATGGTGATTCTGGATATCGCCTTTCTCTCAGGATTTATCCCTGACCCACAGTCTTTGAAGAATGTGAGTGAAAGCAGTGACTTTAACCTAAACCTGGGTGTTGATAGAACACCCAGGTGTAATAATAAGGCTGCTGAATGTTTTCTCCTCACAGCTTGAAAGAGCTCAACTGGTGGATCGGGTTGAACACAAGGACGGCCATGTTGTGGTGTACTTACCGGAGGTGAGACCGATCAGCAGCTCTGAACAAGACATGACGACAGAAGAATTTGTCATTTGTAAATTTATGTTTTGGTCTTCTTTTTAGCTTGAAAAAGGGGTACCAGTCAACCACAGCTTGGTTCTCCTGCAGCAGATCCCTGTGCAGAACCTTAAACCAGCAGTGATCACCCTCTATGACTACTACCAGCCCAGTAAACACAGAACACACTTTGAGTCATACTGACCTAAGGTTATTTCTTCATTTTCAACACTATCTTATTCTCTCCCAGGTGACCGGGCAGAGAGAGAATATATTGCAGCTAATCAAGGTAAAAATATTACAACATCATAGTAAAACAGTCTTATTAAGATGCCATAAACCTTTCATTTTAACTTTTTTTCCCCCCTGCGGTAGCCTCAGAAGCTTTTTGTGTTGGTAGGAATTTTAACAAAGGCGTTAACTTTTAGGTCAAAGAAATCGGTCCCTGAAATATTTTGTGAAATCACAAATTGTTAGTTGGACTATGTGACATCAAAAACAAGTTTCTTACAAGCTAACATATTTTCAGGTTTCTTAACATGTTTATCATCTCAATCCTATGATGTTATTTGGAGTTTGTCGTGTGTTTAGAGTTTTAAACTTCTAGAAGACAAAAGTGTTTAGAAGGATCAACGTATTGTCAGTGTAGCTGAAAATATTGTCTTAGTGTGGAAACAAGAATTGACTTTTAGTGTTTTTTATATATAACTTAGATGTCATATATGTGTATATTTAAAGTTTTTTCTTCTTCTATTCCAGCTTAAAGTGTGACGTCCCATCAGTCCTGAAGTTGTTTGCTGATTTTGTTCTATTATATTGAACTAAAATGTGTTTTCTTAGGGATACTTTTGCATGCAGTATCTCTACTATCACAGTACTCACATTAATTGTTTTACAAATAATTACACAATCTATTCATTTATTACATTTTGCTTTTATGTAAACATTGTAACTATGCACTGTTGGGAATCAAAATTTGCATCAATGTTTGGCTTACGTTAATATTATTAAGGGTGATAGAAACTGTGTCCTGAGTTCTTGCAGCGGTCAGCTAAAGATTGAGATTAGGACTCAAAGAGACTTAATCAAACCTTCCCAAGCCACTGATATGCTCAGTACAGACAAAAACAACCTGTTTAGCAAACACTTACACAGGAAAAATTGAGCTTTTTCACTCTGCATGAATTTTTACTCAGTCTTTTTTGAAGCACTGTAAAATAATATGAACTTTTCATTTCATTAATATGCCTAACTGTTCATTTAATTCAGAATGACTATTGTAAAATTAGTTCATTTATTAATATGCTGGATTCCCTTCTTGTCAGATATTATGACTTTGTTGACAATAGTGACTGTTGCTGGTCTGTAATGTCCAGCATGTCAGCATGTTATGTTTTCTATATACCAGGACTTTCCTTGTTCTTCTATCACCTCCCAGATAAAAACAAGTTGTTTTTGTCTTCCTCTATTTCAGCTGAAGGATAAACATCTTTTAAACATATTTTAAATATTTATATATGAATCTATAATAACAATTGCTGTCTAAAGAATATGTATCATGCTGCTAATCTTCTGGTGAAACTTTATATTTTAACACTTTTATATTAATTGGCTAATAATTATCAGATGACTTGTGTTAGCATATAAAATAGAATAAAATAATAATCCCATCAACACTCATAACCAATCTCCTTGTCCTAATTTAAAAAAGAAAGCATACCCACAGAATGATACTGCCACTAACATGGTGTTTTCAGGGTGATGCATGGTGTTAAGGAGAGGACTGTCCAGGACACCCTTCCTGTTAGCACCACCACTGGCTCTGACAGCAAGTTCAGGTCCATAACTGAATAATTCAAAAGAACATTCAACAGCAGTTTAAATTTAAACGCGAAAACTGATTCATTTTTGCACTGAATCAATGCCTGGCTACATGCAGTTTCATTTCCTCCGTTCTGGATGATGATGGTCAGTGGAGAGATCTGCTGAAACTGCTGTTCAGAGGTCACACTGTCTAAATCCATCTCTTATATTTGTAGGTTTTCATCTGAATCCCCATGTTTTCCTTCCAAGATGGGACCAGTTTGTCAGTGTTTAAGTCTGAGTTTATAAACCAATTTCTCCGAGACATTTTGTTGCACTTAACTGTTTCTCTCTCTCTCTCTCTCTCTCTCTCTCTCTCTCTCTCTCTCTCTCTCTCTCTCTCTCTCTCTCTCTCTCTCTCTCTCTCTCTCTCTCTCTCTCTCTCTCTGTTCAGCCTTTAAAATCAGAGTGAAGCTGTTTCCCTGATAAAGCCACCAAATTAGTTTCTACTCTGCTGCAACTAACTCTCTTTTCTGGATCATCTCCTTTTCTCTTTCTGTCTTTCTCTGCTCTCTTCTTTCAAACGAGACATTGCTTAAGCTTACTTACTTTACTTTTAGCCAATTAATTAATTACTTAATTAACAAAGTACTTTTACTTTTTTACTTTACAATACTAGTTCTTGCACACAAATATCTCTTTTTCGTCTTTCTGTATTTTCTTTAAAATCACCACATAAACCGGACCCATAAAAGGAAACACTTAAACATTTGCCACTGAGCGTTATTAGATTAAAGTGTGCAGAAAAAGAAACCGGGAAAGGGCACTCAGCAACATGACGTCACTTCCTGGATGTAGGGGGGGAGACCAAATGACAGCTGGTTTGTTTTCATCAACAAGGGGGACCCAGCGTTGTCAGTAAAGGTACGTACTGCAGCCATCTACCATAGTAATGCTCTGATCTACCAGCTCAGAGCATTATCACCCTCCTGGAGAACATTAACACCGCATTTCTACGGTTTCTGTCTGTTCTCCGTTTCGGGCTCCATCGAGCCGTTGCTCCTGCTGCTGGGGGTCAGACTGGTTATTTTCAGAGTAGACAAGACTCTGACCGTGAGATACAAGCAAGATGTAAAGCTTAGTAATCTGCCTGTAGTAGTCATTCCCCTGTTTATGTTTTCACTGTAAACGGGAGCTGTTATCATTTAGATTACGTTCGCCATCCTTCTGCTTTTAAACGCCAGATTCCTTTAAGAAATCGGTGAATTTTAGACTCGATGGGGCCTTTTAATCCAATTTATGAAATGACACCATAAACTTAAGGCGGCAGTGCTTCCGGAAAATTGTTTACATGGGATCGGCATTATTTATTTTTAAAGAAACATTTCATATATGCTTAAGTCAGTAACTTTTTTTGTTAGATTTATCCGTGGTTGCCAAGTGGATTTTGTGGTGCGTTCGAGTCGAACTCGATTGTCGGATTTTCCGATTTCCAAATAGGTGAATCGGAAAATTGATTTCGTATTGACGTCACACCCAACTTGAACTGTGCTTCATATGCCAACAAACAAGTTTGTTCATGTTTGTTCATTGCGATGTTACTGTAATGAAGATGGAAGAAAAAAAAAACAAGAAAACAAAAAAGCTTGTAACATTATCTATGCTGAATTTCCTGTTCAAAAAATATATTTTTCCATTAACATCGAAATTAAATAATAAAAGAGAAAATCATATTGCTATTCTAAGGTAAATGCCCAAAATGGTAAATTCCATCTGAAAATATGTTGTTTTCACCACTGTTTCATACTTCAAAATAAATACAGAAGTGGTTTTCTTGTAAGACAGTAAAGAATAGAAACGACCATTTGTCCATACAGTTATATAAAATTCAGCCACTTTCTGTAATATCTTATTGAAAATGGTTTAAACTATAGGAACTATACGAACAGCATGACAGCATGTCTTTCTGAGATTTCAGATTGTAATTATTTAACATCAGGTGTTACTTTGATACACAAATGGCAAAGAGCAGACACTCCATATTAGTGGTTATAAATCTAAAGATAAGGAAACTGTGCAGTGAAATATTAACTATGGGTTAGAAAATTTAATAATCTAAATATAAACATTTACTAATTAATAAATATGTCATTTATATTTATGAACTGGCTATCAGTGTTTTCTTTTTTTTCAATTTCTATTGTTGATTTACAATAGAAATCAACAAATCTAGTTCAATGATTAGTCTCTTTATAACTGATTTATTTTATTAAAACACAGCCTACGGGTTCATTGTCACTTACTCAGAAATAGATATTTAATATTTAGTGAAAAGGTTTTTGAATAAAAGCCTCTCTATCAGTTTGCTCAATACAGAATACTGCAGTTTTGCTCTAATGATTTTTATTGATGATCATGTCAGCAAGCAGAGACTGATCTTTGACCTTGATGATTTGTTCTGCAGTGACATGTGGTGATCCTCCTCCCTTATCTGGTCTGACAGGAGCGCCAACAAGGGGAGTAGCTTTTTCTTTCTGCAGACTTCTCCTCTGTCCTTCCATCCATTCTGGAGTAAGATGTTAACCCCTTATTTAATTAGTCCCCACTTTGGTAGGACATACAAGGAATGATCTGTGTAGATGATTCGATCAGAAAAAAATTCACTCATTCCGGTTTTTCTGACAGGTCGCCTGTACAGATACGGCACCAAACAGCTGATTGCAGCCACATCAAAGCAGACGCCGGTTCAGGTATTGCGACAGAACCCCCACCATTATAAAACACTGTGCTGTCAGTTTAGGCAGCTGCATAAGACACTGTAATACGATCCTTTATATTTTTATTCAAGCAACAACTGATACATAATTTATGTTTCCCTCCAGCATATTCCATGGAGAGGCTCTGTCTGCCAAGCCTTATAAAACAGATGCTGGTCATTTTAATTATGGGAAGTCAAGTGATTATCTTGGTCCACGTGCTGCGGTTTCTTTTTCTACGTTTAAAGGGGAAGCCTTATGTATTTTCTCGGCACATTGTTACATTTTCCAGCACCATCAATTAAATATGTTACCATTGCTTGTAAAAATGCTTTATATCGTAAACAAGTTCAATACAGTTCCACCAGCTTTGGAACTGTGCATCAACTTAAGGCATAAGGGAGGGTGCTATCTTTTTTACTTTTTTTTTTTTTAAGTATTGTTAGAGTCCTTTTTAGCAGAAAAACATGCATTAAGTAGGGAGGTACAATGGGGATTGGCAGAAAAAAGCAGTGCTGTGCTCAACACCACCCTGACTATCATCCATGTTATCCAATACATTTTCTTGCAGTTGTTATTTGTAATAAAAAAAAAATAGGCCATAGATATTCTGAACCCATCCTTATCACATTTAAAGGACATAGTGTAGGAGCATGCTGTAAGCACCACCACTACACTATGTTGTTTGTTTACAGAATGCATTGAGAAAAAATATCAATGAACACAATAATAAAGCTTCAAACCATAATGATTCCACTGAAAATAAATATATTTCCTAAATTTATTGCATTTTAAACAAAATTACTTGAGGGCTCCCTTCTTATTTTTTTTTTTTTTTTTTTGTTTTTGTTTCTAAACCAGTTCTTGAACTACTTAACTATGTTTACATCTTTTGAAGTCAAATCAACAGAAAACATTGCAAAGAGCTCCCTAGCGGTGAGATAAGATCTTGAAGGGTTGTGACATTTACCTGATATTCGTTTCCATTCCTGAAGAGGAGGCTGCTCAACAGGAAAGCGTCATGGAGCCTCCAGAAGACAGGGAAGGTCGTTCCTTTGTGGAGGTTATCAATGAGAAGTACAGCCCAGAAAACTTCCCGTACCGCAGAGGGCCTGGGATGGGAGTTGTGGTGGTTCCCACTGCAGGTCTCCAGGGTTCCCCCATGAAGGGTGAGATGAAGACGTCACCTTTGTCTTGCTAAACAGTATATTTATTTTATTTCTGCTAAGAGAGGCATTTGATTATTTATTGGCACCAAGTTTTACCCTGTGATTAAAATAATCGAAGGACTTGTTCATTCTTGCACAATGATCTGATGAATGAATATTTTCTTATATTTTCATATTATTTATTCATTCATTTATTTTATTATTTTTTATTTTATTATTTCTGTCTCAAACCAATAACATTGTTTCTATGAGGCCTCACCTTTTTTTGGTTGTGAATTGATTCAGTTTTTGAAAGCACTGACAGGTCAGTAGAAGAAAATGTCAAAAAAAAAAATCCCCACTGACAATAATCATAATCACACAAATGCCCTAGCAACATGTTCTGTCACATCTATGTCTTACATGTTAATATGAAGTATTATGGTGGCTTTTTTAAGTAATAAGAACCACACACTTGAGGGAACTCAAGTGTGTGGTATATTTGACCAAGAACAGTTTAAAAGCGACTGCAGTCACAGGGTTTTCTGTGGTGTAGCCAGCAGAGCATCTTTCCTCCTTCTCTTTCTGTCCACTTCCTGTCACTAAATGCCATTAATATGTTGTTAAATATCAGTTATTTGCTGCTGTCGCCCTAATATTTGACTGCTTAAACTGCACAGAAACAACCGCCTTACAAATTAAAATTACCATCATTGACTTTATGAATGATTTAATTTGAAGGGTGGAGAGATAAAATAAATTTACTCTGTATCTAACATATTGTCATGAAGTAAAGATATATATTTTAAAAATGTAAATAATCAAAAGAAAAATTCTTAATAAATTATTTTTCATGCGTTCATCTGAAGTCTTAATAATATTTTCACACATATAAATGTCAATTAAATTGTATTTAATTGTGGTCCTGTTGGCTTTTCATACTTGCTGATGTCCACATTGTTCATATTTTAAGCTCCTTTGGATTTGAGCTCAAATGCCACAAACAGAAATGTCCTGCAGCAGTTTCGATTTTTCAGCAGTATCTTCATGTCATTCACAATGGATCACCTTCAGCCACAAATTCTGTTTTTCTTCCCTCTTACTGCAAGGAGGGATAATCTAAAAATCAAAACTATTTTATGCAACTTAAAAATAAGGCCTGCATTTTTTTCACAAACAGACTTATGTAGAAAAACTATTCTTTCTCCACCATAGCTGTACGGTCCACTTCTGCATTGTGAACTACTCCTGGAACTTCTAGTGTTCACTCTGAACTTCCAGGCCTAGTTGTGTTCAAACCCTTAAAAAAACTTTAAAATGTCCCTCTGTCCCTCACACTAGACCGTCTAAACTTGCCCAGTGTGCTGGTGCTGAACGGCTGTGGGATCAGCAAAGCAGGAGACCAGGCTGAGATAGCTGCCTTCTGTGCTCATGTTATGGAGCTGGATCTATCTCACAACAATCTTCAAGACTGGCAAGAGGTAACTTTGAAATCTCTCAGTCCTTTCTGACTGTAGATAGCATTAGATCAGTAATATCAAATTAGGTTGAGCAATTACTGTTTATAGTTGCTTTTATTGTGTTGAATCAACTGTTAAAAAAACAGAAAAATCACGTTTCTGACTTTTCCTCATCGTCTTTCCGGTGTTAAATCTGAAAACAAGGTTAGATATATGCAGGTTCTCTGCCACTCAGTGTGATATATTTTCAGATTCATAGTTTTTAAAGCTTTCTTTGTGTATCAGATTAAAAATACTGATCATACTTTTTTTCAGATCAGTAAAATTGCATCAAGTATCCCTAATCTGGAGTTCCTCAACCTGAGCTCCAACCCACTGGCAGGAACCATTCTTGAGCCGCAGTGTGCTGAAGCCTTTTCACGAGTGCGACGCCTTGTTCTCAACAATACTCAGATATCCTGGGATACAGTGATGCTGCTGACCCAGAACATTCCTGAGTAAGAAGAGCTGTACTAAATCCCTGTTTTTAAAGGAGTGATATTATGTATTTGACTATTTGGCTGGCTTTTAATTGGTTGATTGTTTTATTGTTTATTATTTATTTCTGTAAATTTAAGTGTACACCCAAAGCAATAGACAAATAGTTTTACCAGAAACCAGGTGTGTGCACTCTTCTGAGATTCATTGTGCTGTATGTCTCTCCCTGTTTTTCCCTTCAGTGTGTATTTTCCTCAGCTACGGGTGGACTCTCTCTTTGTTCTTTTGTAGGTTAGAAGAACTGTTCCTGTGCCTTAACGAGTACAGTAGTGTGAGTGCCTCCAGCGTGGCCTGCCCCACTCTGCGCCTCCTTCACATCACCGACAACAGCCTGCACGATTGGGCCGAAGTGGGCAAGTTTGGCTCCATGTTCCCCAGCCTGGACACTCTGATCATGGCCAACAACAACTTGGCCTCCATTCAGGACAGCAAAGATATCCTGGCACGACTCTTCCCCAAACTGCGCAGTATCAACCTAAACAACTCAGGTCAGTGGGTCGCAGTGTGAGCTTGTTTTGATTCGACTCTTTGAATTAGTCTCTTGTGATAGTTATATCTTGAGCATTAATGTTGCTGTAGCTGAATGGTTTCATTTTGTGTTGTAGAGATTTAAAATTAGGATTTAGTATTATGGCAGCAGATAATTTTAGCACAAGCATGGGTCGTTTTATTCTAAAAACTTTGTTCTAAGAGTCCTCTCCACATAGCCTTTAATCTCAAGCAGTGTGTCTATTTACAGAAACAGAATGAGGGTTTATATGCAGAGCTGTTTTCAGAGGGAGAAGGACAAAATCAACATCAGAGAAATGTTCAGATTATCTATTTCCATTCATGTATCAGACTACAAATATCTGACGTGTTTGCCACCTGAAAGACATCCTTTGTCAGAGTTATTCTTTAAATGACAGATGTATTTATTGTAAACATTATTTGGAAAGTGTATTCAGTAGCATATTTAAATATTTGGAGCAGTTTTCTTGCACAAGGACAATGTGCGTGCAGGCAAGCAATACTATATTAATATAATTTCCTTTTATAATACTTTTAATTTTTATTTTTATTTTTTCAAAATGATCTTGAAAGTACTTGTTCTAACTGGAGTATAAACTACTGGAAATTCTGCCAGAAACAAAAACCGCTGCATTGAACCGCTTCAACACCTGAAAACCCGTTAGAAGTTTTCCGTAAAAACGTCATATTCATTCGGTTGAAAGTCTCCACTCAACTTCTTGGCATATGTGTTGTCAGGTCTCAACCGATGGGAAGATATTGAGAAGCTGAACTTCTTTCCAAAGTTAGAGGAGGTGCGACTGCTGGGCATTCCCTTACTGCAGCCTTACACCAAGGCAGAACGCCGCAACCTCATGATAGCACAGTGAGTCTCATCTGTCATGAATAAAACCGTTTGAGACAATTTTTGTCTGCTAATTTGTTGATTTTTAGACTCATGTCCTTTCTGGTGCATAACTTGCTCATGTTTATATGGCCCTCCTCAGGCTTCCCTCAGTATCCCATCTAAATGGCAGTGTTGTGACTGACAGCGAGCGAGAGGATGCAGAGAGGTTCTTCATCCGTCACTACCTAGACTGCCCTGAGAAGGAGCTACCATACAGGTAAACTGCATGACTTGCTTCTCTTTTATCATAACTTCAAAAGTGAAGTGTGTTTTGTGTTTGTATAGTTAAAAAAACCTGATCTTTCCGAGCACAGATACCATTCCCTGATAACCAAATACGGCAAGCTGGAGCCGCTCGCTGAGATCGACCTCAGACCTCGCTGCCGGGCTCAGGTCGAAGTTCACTGCGAGGAGAAAGTAGAACAGGTTAGTTTGGTAATAATTTAATATGATTCAATACCAAAAATACCGTCATAACAAAGTACTGTACCTTAGAACAACCACAAACTTCTCCCTATTTTATTTTGGATTTTATTTGATAGACCAAAATCAAGTAGAAGGAACTGGGAACAGGAAGTAATTTGCATTCAAACACAACTTCATTCTGACTGAAATGTGTCTGTTTAAGTTCTTATAAGTCTTGGCTTTGTTTCAGCTGTGCATCCGTTTGGACCAAACCGTTGCTGAGCTAAAAAAGCAGTTGACGTCTGTGGTCCAGCTCTCCACCAACAGTATGAGGCTTTACTACATCAACAAGGACAGCGCCTTTGGTCCAGAAGAATTGAAGTACAACAACCGGGCTCTCCACTCCTACAGCATCCAGGATGGTGATGAAATACTCGTAGTGCCCAAGACCAAGTAGAAGCCTTTTGTTTTGAAGCTTGATAAGAAGGATTTAGATGTCTAGGACTATGTTAATTGCTTAGTTGTTATTGCTTGGAAACACTTCTGAAACAGAAAAGCTGGCGTGTCTTTTTGAACGGAGAGAGGCAGTAAAAGGACGTACGCCATCTTGGAGACTGGAAAAAGAAACTACGGTGGGCCGCAGGTTGGCTCTTGCTGAAAGTCCAGAGGTTATATATTTCAGCTTTATTTAAAGAGAAACTCAAGTGAGTTGAAAGATTTTTCATGCTAAAGGCTAAGAGAGCAACATGGATTCTGCTTGCAGTGTTAGCAGACACGAGGGCACTGCAGCAAATCTCAGCTGCTTATTTATTACACGGCATCCACCAAAGCACCTTCACGGACAAATGCCCAGCACTTGCCCACCTGTTCAACACCTACTCTGGTTTTGGCATAGCAAGAACCTGTTGCCACGTGGAGACGGACGGCTGCTCTCGGGTGCACTTTGGCCTTCGATACTACAGAAAATCTGCCTAAATTGAAATGTCAGATGCAGGAAGGGTGATTAAACTGGGTTCAATTCAGATGAAGGGTGTAACAGTCATGTTTTTACAGTCCATATGAAAATACAAGAAATATTAAACTGACCACCCCACCAGTATTGTGTAGCTTACATAGACTGATGATCCACAATTGGTGCTTTTATGAAACATTAATCTTGGTTACAGGCTAATTTCCAAACTGATTTCAAAATTGATATAAACTAAATGTAAAATGTGTTTTCTGTTAACAAACTATAAGAAAGTTGATAGGAAATGAATAGAAAGCTTAATTATATCAATTTATAACAACAAATCCTCAGCTGCCACTATTATGTGAAATCACATTACACTGAGATCTGATATTTGATATCAGAAACCTCTGCTTTAGTGTATTCACTCACACAACCACAGGTGTTTAATGTTGTATGCTGCCACCTGCAGGCATCTTTGCAAGGCAAAACTTGATGCATAAACACAACTTTTATGACAATTTAGTGATTAGCCTTTATGATTTGACAAGTGTGTTTGATTTTAACAGTTCTCATTTAGTTTTGGATGTTTTATAATTCAAAAAGGGATTCTATTCAGCAGAATTATTTATCTCTCTACAAACACTAGAGACTGAGGGATGTTGGTTTCTCTGATCAGTATCATCATATTTTAAACATACATTTAAATTTTAGTGCATAAGCCTGCAACACATTCCAAATTAGACATTTAAAGTATTTCAGAGTGGAGATGTTCTGGAATCGGAGAATCAGCCACTTTTCTTTAAACACAACAGCATAACAGTAAGGAGTTTTCATCCTCTTCAAACATTCAGTTTTAAATTTCTCCACTAGTTCTCTTTTTTACATCAGATTATAATCATATTTGGGTCAGTTTCTCTTTTTCCTTTGCCATAACTTTGTAAGGTAAATAATAATTTACACTGCATTTTGGAGAAATGTGTGAATCTCCTAGGGGAAGACCCACATGTTGTTCCGAAATCTCTGCAGTACTTTTGTGCATCAATGCAGACATTATAGAGATGAAAATGAGGATTAGGTAAAAAATTACAATGACAATAAAAATAACCCTGGCCTTGGGATGAGATGTTGATACTCCTTTTCATATTCAGTCTGTGTACAGAACCTACAGTATGAGGCTTTACTGTTGGTTGCGAGCAGTTTAAGCCTATACACTAACGCCATAGTCATTTCATGATGTTCTGGACTGTTAAGGGAGAAATATGCAAATTCCATTTATATTAAAGGAATATTGATTTAGTGCCTTGCAATATAATTCACACTTCTACATAGTTTGCAAATTTGCAAGTACAGTTTTAAGGGAGTTTGTGTGACAAACCAAACCAAAGTAGTAAACTGGGGAGGAAGATTTATTTTAGTTAATAAAAAAAAAAAACATTACATCTCTCATCCAAAAAGCTTCTTCAGTTCTGAACAAAAGTGGAAATTATTGCTTATGCTTACAGAAAGAATAATCACACTCAAAGATCTGAATCATGCAACCCCTATGTGTTTATTCACATCTCAATTTGTGAATGGTTGCAAAAACTGCCCAAAGAGACCGGACAAGGCTGCATTGTAGCCACCACCACCTCTGTAGCCTGCAATCTAGGGTGAACATAGAAAACCAGAAAAGTTAGCCTGTCACAGAAGCATCTTCACACCAAATCATATCTACAAAAATCAGATGACTTCACATATTTTAAATCCCATTTGTTCTTTCACTTTACAAAAAGCCATTCATAGATTGTCTTTAAATGTGTTGCAGGCTTGAAATGCAAAATAAATGGCACTGAATGCAAAATCTTCTTCATTGAAGGTTTGCACTTCATTTGTTCTCTTATTTACATTTTTGAAATGCTGCATAAGCAGATGCTGGTCTTAGTAGTGGCATTTAAACACACTTTTGACGCTGGGGACATTTATGTATTTTATTTTTTCATTCCTTCTGCACAAAAACACTTTCACCAAACACTGAATTGTATCTTCAAATCAATATTATTACTGTGATTGAAGTCATTACAATGTGGTATATATATATATACACAATAGTTATTGATTTTATGAGAACGTATCCTTCTTGTAAATAAGAAGCGTTGAGCTTAGGAATTTGGTGCTAATGTTTTCCTTTAACAAGCTACTTTACAGAATCCCAAAATATTGTTACAGCTATGGACAGCTATGTTAGTGCTATATTACTGCTCTAAGAATCAGCTCAACAAAGCTGATTTGTTGAGCTTCCAAAATGAAATATTCCTTCCTAGTTGCTCCTGGGAGACAAATCTCTAGTTGTGGTCTGTTAACAAAAAGATCCAGCTTTCTTTTTAGGAAATCTGAATTACATTTCAATGTCTGAAGTTCAAAATCTTTCAACTGATCAAGCTTGTGTAATGTGCTACATTATTTGCCGGTTCTTTAGCACAAAGTTAGAAATTATTTTAGTTCTCCATTCTATTTGTATAAGAGAAAGGGAAATTTTAGAAGATTTTTTTCTCCATCAGATATACATAAGATTGAGACAATGATAAAACTGCTATTTTTACCCAGGAAAACTTGAATTAAATTGTTTAACATTAATAACAAATTATTTAAGAAACTGTTTTAAATGTTAAAGTCTAATTTGCTTTGACATTGATATTCTTAGCTCTCTAATCGATGGTTAACTGTATTTTACTTTCCACTTGAAAACTAAAGAAAACTTTATATTTGAGTAAATTAGAAATCTCCGTTTTAGAGCTGATGCTCCAAAGTTTTTCCCTTATCTAGAGTGTTTGTTCTCCAAATCTGCAGCTATACGTGAATAGGTGTTCATGGAGAAGAAAAAACAAAGTCGGACCCTTTTCTCTATATTTGATCACGACAGTTTTGAAATCAGTGTTAGTGTAGCATGAATTGCAGCCATAGTAAACAGAACAAAGAGGCAGTAATGTAGTGCAAACACCAACAATCAGGTTCCCAGACTACTACCTGAACGTGTCTTAATCAACGTGAGCTTGTTTGGTATAAGAGAATGTTGCATTAATTTGCGGCGAGGGATGATATAATGATATGCATGTTATGTATTTATTGATTGTGCGATCACAAGGAACGTTTTTACACCTGCCTAGATCCATAGAGCAATTCACTTCATGACACTGTGTCTTAATTTAACACAGAGTGAATGATTTCACGCCTTTATGTAGAGATTTATCATTTCTTGAAATTCTGGTGTAATGTTTCTTCTGTTGTGAGCTAAAATTTTGCCTTTCACAGCCCCTTAAAGTACCATACAGATTTTTTGTAATAAAAAAAAGATTTGAGTTATGTTTGATTGACATAAGACGTTGGCATCAAATTTTTCATATTTAAAATCCACAAGTAAAAGGCTTAAAAACATCAAAACTCCCACACACATATAGGTCCTTAATTGCAAAGTTTTGTCTTTATTATTTTCTGAAGTTCCTCTTTACCTGTTTGGTTCGCTGTTTTGTGCTGCAATTTTTGCATAATATCAAAGTAAAAGAACCATCAATATCAAGCATCAGTTTCCAGAGTCAAACTGAGAGGTTTTCATTTCAAGAACCATCTTTTATTAATTATTCAGCAGTTCAAGATGAAGACATCCACGACAAAAACCAAAACCACACCAGCAGTATCTTCAGTAGATCAGAATGCGCTTCAATTTTATTATAGATATCTTTACTTTTATTAAAAATATGTGTGTTTCATGTTTTTTGCGCATTGATGTACTATAACTTAAAACATTGTACAAAATTTTGTTCAGTAGCCTATTTGAAAAGAAATTCTTTATCTGCCTTTTTTTCTTTTTTTTTTGCCAAGAATAACATGAGGTGATTAAACCACATATATTTCTACACACTGGAGATTGTTAGCTTCGCTTAGCAAAAAAAAAAAAAAAAAAAAAAGAATGGGGAAAGAAGGCAAATGGGAAAGAATACACCTATATGTTCTTCTGACTCTGTTAAACCTTGATCTTAGTGCAGTTATATATATAAGTAGAGGCTATTGTTTCTAACTTCAATGTTCCCCTTTTGCAGGATTTTGTGCAAAGGGGACCTAATTGTGGTGTTAAATCTCAGATTTTTACCCATCTAGTTGAAACCTACATAATATCCTAAAAACAGGCATATCTTAAAATATTATGTGGTAAAATAATTCACAATGAGTGTTAGAAAAAATGCTAATAAAGCCTATGGAGAGCACAAAATGGTGGTAATGTCATTTAAGAAGTTGGGTACCATCCCACTAATGCTGGATTCTGTTTAGTTCTAGAAGTAAGAAATCTCGAAGTTAGAGTCTGAAAGATCAATTAGAGGTGCCTTAACAACCCTGACCTCAAAATCCAATATGGCTACCACATGTAAAGTCATAGCTTCAGTAAAATTGTTGATTTAAACAGTTTACTATTGATATCCCTGCTAGTTTTTTGTTCTCTTGGCAAAACTAGCAAATCACTTTCTATTTTTTTTTTTTTAGGATCTGCCTGACAAGAGTGCAGGAACTTTCTTTAAAACCAGTGATATCTAGAGTTTAAAGAATACTGTCCAGCATGTTTTAGATGTTTCCATCACACATCTGAATCAGTTGAATAATTCATTAGGAGAACTCCTTCAGAACTCAACAACGCTCTGAGAAGTGCAGAAAATCATCTAAAAAAAAATGCAAGCCACTGGTCCTTGCGTACTGGAGTTGGACATTCCTGGTTTAAGGCTGCACTGTCCTGGAAAATTGATGTTTTCTGCTAACGTGCATTCAGTATGGGCATTCAAGAGTTCTGTGAAATGTGGAGGGCCAAACTGTCCAAATTATATACAAATAATTTGTTAAATCAATATTCTGCATCTCAGAGTCTAAATCATGGATGGATTTAGATCCATGATTTAATTTTGCAAATCTCATTTGTAAAATTGTTATTTCAATGAAATGCACAACACTTAAAAAAAAAAATCTCATCTCTCCCATCTGCAGAGGCTGTAATGAAGAAGGTTGTGGATTTGACTCCAGGCCTGGGGTCTTTCTGCATTTAGTTTCTAACTATGCATTAATGGGTTAACTCCTGGTTCTGTCTTCATTATGGTCTAAAAACATTCATGCTAAGTTAATTGGTCTTTGTGAAATACCCTTAGGAGGGAGTTTATGTTTGCATGGTTGTCTGTCCTGTTTTTCTCCTTGTTGCCCTCATGACCTGTCCAAGGAGTACCTTGTATCATAACAACTGGAGTAAGGCACCAACCGCCCACAACCCTGTAAAAATAAGTTGCTTTAGACTGATAAATGCCTTGCAGTACACCATGACTACTTTGGCAAATAGACCCCAACATTAATGGCTCACTTGCCGAGCAAGTTCACTTCAGGACACATTATTTGAACAATAGAACTACTATTTTCACTTACTGATTGACCTTTGTTTTTAAGTGCCAAAAATTATTTAAGTCAAATAATTATAAATGGATTAATTGTGCATTTATTAATTATGTGTAATTTTTCATTTATTTGATTGTGATACATTTGGACCTCCATAGGTATTATCTTTTCAGATTTTCAATCTACACTGTCAAACATCTTGCAGTTTTTGTATGGTACATCATGCCACTAATTAATTTACTAAATCAGTACTTGTTTCTGTGGATTTATCAACAAGCACACTTCATAATATGTCTGTTTTGCTTATATTTCCCTACATTTATAGAATTATTTTGAATCAAATGAGATATTTCTGCAGGTAATACGCACCAGTGTTTAAGTTAATCATTTCACACAGTCTCATCTGTGGCAATTAAATCATGATTTTGCTTTCCAAGAACCCGTAGAAAGTCTTTTTGTTTTTAAAGATCAGAGTGAGTCATCTTTCTTGGGATGAAAGATGCGTCACTGAATGTGAATAAATGGCCGTCTCCCTCCTCTGTTGTCTGATGCCGTTTCATTCACAGTTGCAGTTTTGGACCCGGGCCCACTCTTTGGAAGATGTTCAGTATTATAGCACAGCAGAGGGAGTGCAAAGCTCAGCATCCATTACTCATTCGCTTTGATACAGAGAGCCAGTCACTTCTTGCTTTAATGCTGCAGCTAAGGAAATAAACTGATTAAATATGGCATTGTAACTACACTGACAGATGAAGTGGAAATCACTGATGATCTCTTGGCCTGGTTATTAGTGGACATGGTATATAGACAGCAAGCAAGTACATTATTTTCAGTTAAAGTTTTGAATGTAGATTATTTAGTTTATTTTTATTTGTTTATTTTCTAGTTGATTTATAATTAGAATGTTTATTTTATTGTTTCTAAATCAGTTTTGTGGTTAGTAATTAACTTAATTAGTTAATTGATTTCAGTTTGGGAAGTGGGTGTGTTTCACAGTATAAATATGTAGGGTTTAGATAAGTCTTGAGTCACGTGGGTGGTCTTATGGTTTTTTACCTGTCGTCTGTCATTAGTCATCAGTCAGTTTTTATCAGTGAGAACAGGTGCAGGAGTTAGGGCAGGTTTATCCGAAGCCTCTAACTTGTTTTTAGCCTAAAAACTGAATAAAGTAAACAGAGCTGCATTTTGACTGTTTTAACCTTTTGTTTTGGACTGCGTAAGCCAGAACCCACGATGCACAGTATTGACTATTTGAGTTTATTTTATTTTTTGCTTTGATCATTTTTTGAGATTTGAGTTTTCTTGATTTTGGAATTTAGTTTTTGGACAAATAATAAATACAATGATGTTTTTGAGATATTTTGATAAGAGCCTATTTGGGATGGCTAGACGACCTTGCTTACCTGGAAATGGAAAGGCACTAAGATGTACCATGAGAAGAAGGCAGTGCTATGGTCAATATTCTTCTGGAAAACTTTAAGATGCTGTTATTCATGTGAATGTTACTTTGACATATCCTAAGCATTGTTACATCTTTTTATGGAAAAGCTATTCTCTGATGTTGGTTCCCCCGCCCTCTCTCTCTCTCTCTCTCTCTCTCTCTCTCTCTCTTTCCCTCTTTTAGCAAAATAATGCATTCTGCCATCAAATAGAAATTGGTTTTGGAATTGTTTCAGTAGCACAGCAAAGACTTTGATGTTTTGACTTGGCCTTTAAGTTCCCCAGATCTAACTCTAATCAAGAGTTAGATATCCATTTCTCAGGCAGCCCATGCTATTTGGAGAATCAAATTTAGTCAAAAATAGTAAAATCACATATCTTTGTAATGACCCTAGTTACAGAAAAAAACCACATATTTTAGATTGTGTTTTGGTTTTGATAAAATGTTGGTTTTATACAATTTACTACTAGATCATATGACATAATAGTCAAACTTTTTGGGAATGAGTTGTCAGAAATAGATTTCAGCTTTTTAAAATTTATTTAGTATAGCAATTATGCATAATCATATAATTCAGTATATAAATTATAATACAAAACTTTGAGAAATATCTTTTTTTTTTAAACCTGGTTGAGTGATTTTTTTTTAGCAATAATGAACTACATTTATAAGCAATGTGAGAATTTTATTTATAAAATAAATATAGACCTAATCATTAAACTGCCAATTTACTCCCTTTATTTTTAAATATTAGCTCAAAGTTACATATATTTAAATCTTTATATTTTTGTTTTAAAACGGGCTATTATTATTATTATTATTATTATTATTATTATTATTATTATTATTATTATTATTATGCTTTCCAATAAAAAGCTCCTGAAAAAAAAAACACATAAATAGGAACGGGATAGATCTCCCACGCCACCGGACGTGGCATATTTTCAATGAAAGGATTCTCTGATGTTTACGTTAGTCGCTATGGTGACGGTGTAGGAGGCGGTTCGCATCTATGGCCAGTGACGTGCTGAGCCTGCTTTGGACCAATCACAGCTTCGCTCCGTGGCCATCCTGACGTCACCGTTAAAGCGAAATGGGCCGTTACTCGGTTGCTGAAACTCTACAACTGCAGCGAACAGGAGATATGGCTAAACACCAACGGTCGCGTCGTTAAAGCCTTTGGCAGATTTCTCGTCGGTTTAACATTATCGTTTTACTACAATTAAACCCTGGACCCTGTGGTCTGATAGAAGCACCGACCAGATAAAGGGGACTCTGTTGGGGGCGTTTCGGTGCCCGTTTGGATCGGGATGATCTCCAACTGCGGGGTGAGTGAATGCAGTTCCTTTCTACCTCCATAACCCTGATAGGTGCTGTTTCTGCTAAGTCTTGACACTTCGCTACTTAGCTTAGTCCCAGTACTGGGACGGAATTTATAAGTCAAAAGAACATTAGATTTGAGTGAAACAGAATGTTTGATTGGATTGCATGTTTTTTTTGACCCCTTAAACGAAGCTTGCTGTGGAGACCAGCGGTTGAAAAAACTCGAGAAAGTTCGATTTATTCCTGCTTATTTTTTTCACCTGCACTTATTATGTGTAGAGTAAAATGTATCCTTGTGATTTTATTGGTCATATCTATACGGCTAAAGTATGAACAGTGTGTCCCGCAGCAGCGCCTCAGTTCGCTGTCACAGCACAGTTTGGCGCTGTGTGTCTATGCAGCTGTCCTGAATGCGTTTCCATGAGTTACCACTGAGGCGTATTCGGCCTGCTTACACTGCCGTAAAGTGTATGCCGGTTAGTTTATAAGTGGTGTATTAACTTGGCTGCATCTCCCAGCGGCAAGTTCGAGGAACGTTGGGTTTACGGTTGTCTCTATGTCCTCTCTACTACCCTCTCTCGCGCTGCATTCCTGCGAGCCTACCCGCTTCCATCACCAGGCAACCCTGCTGATTAGTGATGTGGCGCCCGAAGCCGAGCCGGCTTCTTGTGCCTACACACAATGAATGAGTGACTCATTCACATGAACAATGGAATTATAATTATTGGCCTTATTCTTCTTATTATTAGAGCATAATAGCAGCACATGTCAAAATATGCATAAGCAGTAAGTAACCTTGTAATTAGGACCTTTTATGGAGTTTATTCTAGACATTGTTTCAAAAACATAAAATTACAATAAATGTAATCTCAAAGCCCTTTACAAGACAACTTCAATCCATGTTACAATGGACTATAATTTCAGTTTTAAAATAATTCAAGTCTTTCCCATACAATCCTATTATATAGTAACTTCCATATCAGATATGTTCAATTTGTTTCTAATTTTCGTACTGTGCAGTCAAAGTTAATTAATTATCTTATGGTGGCCTGTATGGTGGCTTGTCCATCTCAGGAAGCCCAGATAATTTAATCTTGTTGACTTGGCATCAGTCCTTCATCCTGAGCAAGCATGTGGCAACAGTGGAGAAACCAAAAATTGTTTTTATAGAAAGAAACACCCATCAGAAACAATTCAATTGTTTCTGATGTTTACAGCTATCTGCAACTTTCTAAAATTGCATTTATATTAATCAGGAGATATAATCAGAATCAGAAGTACTTTAAAAATCCCCACAGGGAAAATTTTTGGCAGTCACCTGATTAAAACTTAAGAAAATAAGCCCCAGAGAATGTGATAAAATAATTTAAAAAATTATGTTAGTAAGTGTTGTTATACCGGGTTTGCGCTCATACAAAATTAAATTTCAAGACTTTTCTGAATTAGAATTGTGTAGCAGAAAGAGCCGGATCTTGCTGGTGAGCCGAGCCAAATGAGTCGGATCCGGGAATGGAGACGGAATTGCCATCACTACTCCTGTTGTTCGACTGGGTTACTTACTAAGGCGCGGAATAACGTTATCTGCTGTGGTCTCCATCAGGCATTCCACCTCTGCTCGCATGCAATCAGTCTGTTTCGTGCACTGCTGACATCACGGCACTCAGAGTACCGCCTTGGGTGTTCGGGAACCATCACAGACCCGTCTCCTCTCGGTGTCATGTAACGCTATACGCCGGTTCAGAGCCACTCCGGCGCAGAGCTCCGACTGTCTTTTTCCATTGTCATACGTCAGCTATGTCCTCTGGCCAGAGAATACTCGTTTTTATTTGGATCCTGGTGTCGCAGTCCAGGGATGCGTTTCCGGACACTCGGAGCCTTCCAAGAGCACCACATTCATCTCTTCCCCAACACAAAGTTCTTTAAATTATGTTTTATTTCATATGTTTCACCAACTCAAAAACAAAACAGAATTGCGAAGACCAAATAGTACATTGTAATTTTATTCAACCCTTTTTGCTCTGGTAACATTAAATAAAATCCAGTGCAAGCAACTACCTTCAGAAGTCACCTTACCAAAACCCAGATGTGCATACTTTAATTTTCTATACAAAATACTCTCCATCCAGTGTGACATATTTATGTTATTTGTAAAAACTTTACTTTATTTTCCTTCCATTTAACAATTAAGGCACTGCTTTATGTTCATTTACAATATATAATCTTAATACAATTATTTTTGAGTTGGTGATTGTAACGTGACATGTGGACAAAAAATATCCAGGGATTTGAATACTTTTACAAGGAACTCTAAAAGTGCAAATAATATTCAAATAATATTCAGAGGAACTTAGTGGATGAATCACAATTCACTGAAGCTCATTCTTAACTTTTCAAAGTGATTTCTGACTTGTCTTTAGTATTTGCTCCAGAAGAGCTGTGGAAATCACTTCTGGTCCGCCTGGCTTCCCGAAAGTTTTAACGCTAGTCCTTTAAGAGTAAAGTGGAATGCCAGAGGAGCGCCGAGAGACCTGTGGAGGTCACAGGCATCTGCTATATTTACCGGCTCTGTAACTTGATCCATGGCATTCTGGACAGCCGTGCTCACACTATCTATCCACTTGCTCTGTGGGTCCGCAGCGTTCCGAGTAGCGCCCCTATTGCTTTCTGTCCAAAGACCCGGCTGCTCAGAACAACAAGGGTGAACCTCCATTTATCTTCCTGCAGGTAACCTGCTTGGTTCTGGTCTCAACTGTTTGCTCAGCTTTGTAGTGATCTTCTATGAGGAGCTGGGCTGAGGGTTGGGGACAATATTTCAGAGTTCCAGATTTTTCTCGCATGAGTACAAGAAGCTTCGCTTTAAGTACCGCGGTAATAAGCTGCTGCATGTTTTCTTTCTAACCAACTTGACTAAACAGTCCTCTTCAGGAGCAGCTTTTCTAGATTTGATTGTAGGATCTCATGTGTCCATCACCACTCTAATTATCGCTCGTTCATTTAAAGTTGAATGTGTCTGCTGTAAAGTTAAGCTTCTAGCTGCTTCACTTCTCTATTTATAGGACTTCCAGGCAATATGAAGTTCCTCACACACTATATTTGTCACCCATGGAAAAGTTTTCTGCCAGGTTAGCTGTCATTCTCCACATACATTGACGTGGAAAAGGATTTCCTCCTTTAGATTTCCTCTGTTTATGATTTTTTTTTTTAGAACTTAAATGTTTCTGATTATTAACATCTGATAAAGTACTAAATGCAAAAACCACTTTTCAAATGATTTATTAAAGCAAAAGAGTTTTCAAAACAACTTTTTCAAATATGAGAGATTTATTCACTTCTGTTCAAATCATAAATTTACCAGAGTAAACCACATTTCTTCTGGTTCAGTTTCTCTTGTCACCACTAGAGCTGTAGAATCAAGAAATCATGTTAACTGAACTAACAACAGATGGGGTTTTAGCTTTGATTCAAAGGAATTCAGTATTTCACCATTTTTGTAGTTTTCTGGAAGTTTGTTCCAGACTTGTGGTGCATAGAAGCTGAGTGCTTCTTCTCCATGTTTGGTCCTTGTTCTGGGATGCAGCGTAAACTACACCCAGAAGGCCTGAGTGGTCTTGAGAGTTGATACGACGACAACTCCTCAATGTATTTTGGTACTAGACATTCAGTGCTTTATAAACTAACAGACATATTTTATGATCTATTCTCCAAGGCAGAGAGCCAATGAACTGGGGTGATGGCGTCTATCTTCCTGGTTTTAGTGCGAGCAGCAGCGTTTCGGATGAGGCTGCTTCAGAAGCTTGAGGATTGTTTGTAATTGATGGAACCATAAATTCTGTTCCCTCTACCAGAAATATCTAAAGCAGAATGTCTGACCATCAATTTGTAACCTTAAGCTCCATCACATTTGGATTAACACCCAGAAGTCCACCTGTTGCTCTGCTTTCACTCGTTTTCATTGTGTTTGCTTTACACCCCGATCCTGTGTTCTCACTCATTTGGCATGTCTGTGTTTTTTCACAGGGGTGATCTCTGTGTTTAAACTGTGGGGTGGCATCAGTAGGATGAGCTGCCCCTAAACCCATGAAGTCTGACGCACACTGCTACAAATACAGCAGGTACCAACTTCCCAAACAAATAAATGATAAAAATATAAGTACAGCATTTTTATCATTTATACTTCAGTTTTAAAGTTGGTCAGAGTTTCTAGGAGCTTCTAATTGGTCACCCATGACTGTTTATCTGGAGCATAAATACGAAGGGGAGGAGAATGTATTTCTTTTAGGCTGGATGGGGCCCCATATTTATCTTGCCTCTACACAGAGTGAGCCGGACTGGGACAAAAAGCTTTAAAGGTCACTGTTAGGAGAACTGCAGCAAAGAGTAGCATCTTCTTCTTGCCAAGTTTCTATAACAACTGTCAGACACTGTCTACATGACAACCAGTTGTTTGGGAGTGATGCCAGAACAATGTCTGCCATCACAAGTGTAATGCTGTCCTAAGACTTTGTGCTCTGAGACTCACATTGAGCTTTTCAGTAGCACTTCCGCTGGACTTGGGCTGGAACAAAGCTTTAAAAATTTTAAAAGCACTTCTTGTTCGCTAATGTGTATGCTTGAAGGTCTGTGATGCTGATGCTTCCAGCTCCTTTTTCTACAAAAGCCCTGGAAACATGCTTAGTCTGCGAGCCACCATGAGCTCTTGAAATAGCTGGGGATTCAATGGTCGCTTTAAAGCTGGTGAATATGTTCACAAAACCTACTTTAGGTTTCTTTTTTTTTCTTTGTTATTAATTGACATAAATTAGTTTTCTGATTTAGACATGAAAGGGCTTTTATTTTTGTAAAAAAAAAAATGTTTTGTTGATCATGATGTACTTTTTATTGACACTGCTAATAAACAAAACCCGGTCCAGCAAAACAATCGGTCAGTATAAGCCGTATCATCGCTTAAAACGTTGGATGAAAAGTGACAAGTTACTGCAGCGGCATTTCCCTCATAATCTAGATGAGACCCAACAGTACCAAATCCTCCAGGTACATCAGGTCACTGAGAGCGCTGACAGGCTGGATGGCTGAATGACTCATCCTCCTGATGGTTTCAACTGATGTCAGCAACAGCTTTAATTGAAAGCAGGATTCGTTTTTTAATCATGGAGGACACATTCTGTAAATTCTCTTGTCCAAATCATCTGTACTCGAGAAGCTGTTAATAGAAGTTGTTAAGGTTATTGTCTCTAATCTTTTGTAGCTTATAGCATCCATCAGCATCAGTAAGTGGATCAGCAGAGATCGATGAGCTTTTTAATTAGTAACGGAGTGTAAATGACCAAATGATTGAGTCAATGAATAAAGAATGAAGTTGGTCATGTACAGAGGGTGCAGCAGCAGTAACTGCAGCCCACAGATCCTGTCCTCTGCACTGTAGTCATGGCCTCATGCATGAGTCACTAACAGATGGTAGTAGTGAAAAATGCTAATTGTCGTTTTCCCCTCCGGGTTCTTATTGATGTCAAATCTAGGCTGTGTAGTGAAGACTGTAGTAGGTGGTGATTCAGGAAAATTTGATTGGAAGATTTTCAGCATATGTTCTGTTTTTCAGGTATTGAAAGGCCATTTGATGTGAAGTTTGTTTGGACTCAATTTGTCTCCTCCCTGAAATCAAGACACATAGACAGGCTCCTGCTCAGCAGAATTGGTGGACTAGGTAATGTCCATTTCTCACTCAGAGGTGGAAGCAGTTTACTACTTTGGTGACTTCTTTAGGAAATGGTTGCGCTAAAGTGTATTTGGTGTTTTCACAGCAGAGAGAGATGAATTCTAATGACACGTTTTTTAAAATAAATAAAAAAAAGTAAAACAATGTATTCTTATCTTACAGGTCACAGTTAAATGTTGTGTCCTGTTGGTCTATTACATAATTTTCCAATAATGCATATGATAAAATGTGGAAAGATTTAAGGTGAGAACCATTATGACCAGTTAGAATTTATATATCTTAGTAAAGTCAAAGTCAGTAGTGGAAAAATACTCTGTTGAGCCAAGTGTGGCATAAAGCTGCACCAAGTCACATGTTGCTGATGTGAATGGGTTTGTAAATCCACATGAGCCCAGTTAAGCATTTCAGTGTAACAAGAAGATCAATATCATGTAATCCACCTGTCAGTGTTTTTATGTTTGGCTCAATGAAGGTCTGGTCGATGAGGTGAAGAAAAGTCCGTTTTATGCGAGACTGGCTGAATCAGTGCCACAGACATGTTTGTATAGCAATACATCGCCTACCAGCAACTTTAACCAGATGTTGTGATAGCTCTGTGCCTGTCACAGCTCTTTAGGCGAAGCAAAGAGCTGTGGGAGTGATGCCACAGCTCTCACCGAATGTTTTTCTTCATATTCCTACATATTGCTGACTTATAAATTGTGAAATTAAAGCAGCCATGCTGTCTAAAAGCAAAGGTGGTGAGGCAGATCAACAGGCTCGAAAAGGCTCAAAAAACCGAATCAAGCAATAAAAGTTGAACCAATTCTTTTGTAACAGTGTGTATTACACTTTATTGTTTATTTATGATCTCCTCAGAAAGATGCCATAGTAACATACTTAAAATGATTTTGGTGACACAAACATCTGCTGTAATTGTTAAGGCAACAGGAAAGGAAAGACACCTTCTGGAATAAAAGGTGATTTTCTAGCCGTAAACCAATAGTGTTTCACAGTGTTTCCAACCGTTCTCAGGAGCGTCGGACTGAGAAACAGTTCGCATACGCTCAACAAATGTTCAGTTCCACTAGTTTTTTGCTAACTCTGCTGCTACTTTGGAGGAGCTGAGTGGGGCAGGTGATGGAAGGGGTGTTCTGTGAAGCTCAGCTGGAGATTGCAGCTCCAAGTAGGAGCTTTGTGGAAATTGTTGGGGCTTTGTGGGGGCAAGCATTCAGGCACCGCGAATGGCTGCAGGGGGAGATTAAAGGATTTCTCAAACATGGATGAAAGAATCAAAGCAACACTCCAGGTATGTTTTTGATGGAAGAATAACATTATAACACAAAGCTCAAAAAAGTTTTAAGCTTTTAATTGGAAATGTTTTTATCCAGCTTTTCGGCACCACTTTTAGGCATGTATGCTTGCTCACATATTTTAGCGCTCTTTATTTGGAATCTTTGTAGATCAGGCCCCGAGTATAGCTTTTGGGAAAGGTATTTCAGAGGTACATTTGAATGAACTACAAAAGTACTATATCAATATCTGCTGAGACATGAGACCAAGGTGTTTTTTTTTTAATTTTTTGTCATGCATAGTGCTGTTTGGGTAAAACCAAAACAATTACATTGGAATAAACAGCTGCTGTCAAAGCACAGTGGTGGAGGAGTGAAGGTTGAGGCTTGTTTTACAGCTGCAGGTCCAAAGTGTCCTTCTGCCATTGAGTTGACCATAAGCCTATCTGCTCACCGAATGTCGTCTTTAATCAAATATAAAGTCTTCTGTCTCTCGCATTTTTAGGTCACAATCACCTAAAAGTCATTTGGACTTTTATGTCAAAATGAGTCATAAATAAGAAAAATAATCAGTTGTACAGAACAATATGTGAAAAGAAAGACATAAATCAAGGTGCCCTGAAGGCCCAGTCAAAGTCCAGACCTCAACCTGATTAAAATGCTGTTGTGGTAAATTGCAATGAATTCATGCAATATTGAAAAAGGAGTGGATCAAAATTTCTCCTTGACATATACAATTTTACTCCGTACAAAAAACGACTACAAATAGGTATTGCTTCTGAAGGTGAGTGTAGAAACTGTTGAATCATGGGGTAGTCTTGGTTAACACTTGACTCTGTTATTTGAATAAATAATGATAGTGACGAAATCTGTTTCTAGATCAAACCCTTAACTGAAGCAGAGTTTAATTCTTTGGATGCAACTCTGTGTCTACTCAGTGTACCATTTAGTTCTCTTTTTTTATCATATCACTGCAGTTTCAGCCCACTCTGAGCAAATATTATGCTGAGGAAATATTTAGAAAGAAGCAAGATTTGAAGTTCATGTCTGCTCTTCTGCAGTTTCGGAGGACCAAGATATAAAAGCCATTGGTGATAATGTGATATTTATTATTGGTTAGCTCAATTTCACATGGATGTATATTTTTGGCCTTTTGGAGTAAAATTTTGGAGATCATAAATGAGTCCTCTCTGACAGCCTTGTTGGTCTGAATGAATTTACTTCTCTCTCGCAAGTATTTTTGTGGATGAGCTGAATGCCAGACGCAGTGTTACTTTGTTCACTGGTTTCTATTTTTTCTTGGTCGTTGGGTAGAGTCATACTAGCTGAGCATTGCTCTGGGATCCAGTTCCACATATTGAAAGTGAGGTTCGTAAAAAGATTTTGGCCCAGTTCTCTGAAACTTGCCCCGAAGGTGAAACCTCATCTCTCCATCTTGATGCCAGTAGGCAGCTGCTAGAAACCTCTCTTGGACTGCACCAATGCAATCATCTCTGCCACTCAGTTGAAATATTTTTAATCGCAATGTCCTAAAAGCTTGGTGCACCTATTACATTTCTTATGTAATGGGTGCCAGTGGTCTGATCTCTTTTTTTGTCCAGCTGGATAGAGGCTTGCTGGTCAGAAACCTGTAATTTAATTTGTCTGAAGAAAGGACAAGAATGTAGCTACCAGTCTGCAGTTCTGATCGCAGGTTTAAATTGGCCATAACTTGTTGCTACTGTAGCCATGGTAACTGCCGGTTAGCACTGCCTCAGGGGAGGCTGAAAATGTAGAAAAGCCAGAATGTGTAAGTGTGTGAGTTTTTGTTTCCGTTGTAACATGTGCAATTCATACACTATAATGATTATTTGGCAAGCGTCCACGTTCCAGTTTACTGCAGTAATATATAGCCGCCCCCCCAGAATACTTTCACATTGTCTTGTTATAGTGAAAAACTCTATGTGGTTTATTGCTGTTTTATGCGCCAGCATATAACTGCAAAGTAAAATAAAAATTATACATGATTTAAAAAAATGTTGACAGGTGAAGTCAAACAAATCTGACTCTATTCTATTTCCTTAAGTAAAAGTTATTGCTACTAATTCCTTTCAAAGGAAGGCTGGGCAGCCTTTTGGAAGAAAAGCCCATGATAAGTTGGGAGGAGTTGCAGAGATTCTTTGCTCAGGTGGGAGAAGCTGTCCATAGGACAGCATCACTCTAGAAGTCAAACCTTCATGGTACTGTAGCAAGATTTAAACCCTTATTAAAGTGGTACTATTATGACCTTTCCTGGCACATAGTGCCATTTTGTAGCACTATCAAGTAACTGTGTAGGTTGTTATAAAAATGCTGTACATGTCAAACATAACTTGACAGGTGATCATCTGAACACCTACAGGAACTGGGTTCTTGTTTGATTGGGGACAGATCTGGGACTTTGAACATGGTCAATATAGTCCTTAGACAGGTGGACATGTTTTGTATTGGTGAAAAATTGAAAGAATATAGAACAGTGTGGTACTACCAGAAGAAAGCTAACGTGTCTCTTCACAGCATTATTGGTCATTTTTATCCTCTTTCCACATGATGATAAAATGTGGTGATTAATGCAGAACAGCGAGCCATCACTGAAAACAACAGGACCTCACTCGCCAGTCCTCCCCTTTAAGCATAGCCATCTCTGCTTTGCTCTGCACATCATGGGACAGGGAACCTGCAGCAAGGCTGAAGCCAGTCACTGAGCCACCCTGTGGGTGAGACGGGGTGCTGTAATTAGTCCAATATCTGTCTCCAGATGGCAAAGTGCAGATGTTCTCTCATGCTTGGTACACAATATGGCAACCCTTATTCTAGTATGGTTATCTTAAGTAACTGGAATCTTCATCTCCACCGGTTCTAAATAGTGATTGATAATTATTAGTATATTTTTATTGTGCAAAAATTTTTGTTTTTTTTAAATAGTGTGATTAAAATTTTTGTCAGGGCAATTAACACGTCTTCAATATCATTGTGATATTCGTGGTAAAGATTCTTATTAAAAGTGAAGCCAGAAGATGACTTTGTCCTCTCAGATGCTAAAACCAAAACAACCCTGCCAAATTATAGAGGATCACTCCACTTATCTTCATCATCTGGCTTCGTCTGGTTGAACATGGCCTGCTTCTGCATATGTTGGCCTGTCTCCATCTGAGTGCTCATGTACCTGGTTCGGATCCATTGGCTGAATTATTGATGAAACCTTTTGATGTTGAAAAACAGATTGCGAGAGACCATAAGAAGGCTATGCCAATACAGAGAAGAATATTCTGAGGACAAGGAAGCCCACACTCACAGAGGAATGAAGGAAGAGCAGGAGAGGATAGGAAGCAGTAAGAGAGGCGAGATCAGAGCAGAAAGAGCGAGGTTAAAGAAATAGGAGCCTCCCTGGATGAACTCAACACGGATCAGCAACATCAGATACTTTTATTTATTCAGATGCTTCTGCACATGTGAACAGGAGCCTCTCTGAGGCTTTGCTGAAACAGTAACACTCTAGGCTGCCTGCCATTACTTCCACCTCACACACAGACTTCACCTGTATTGGCATGTCTGTGTTTGGCGATGGGGGAAAAAACATTCAGCTTGATGCATCAAAGTAATGTTTAATCTGGATTTAAAGTGAAAAAGGGTCTTTTTTCACAGAATTTTTCCAGTAAACAAGATTTAAATCACAAGGGAACATTTTTCGTAGCTGCATGCGCACAGCCCCACGAGTTAATATTTTGTTGAACCACCTTTTCCTGAAATTATGTATCTTTAAGTCAAGTACATCTCTGCCAGTCTTTCACATCTAGGCAGACCTTTTTTATTTTTACACGCTTGCCAAATTGCTCCAGATTATGTATAGACTTTTACTGGACACACATGAATATCATTTGTTTTTTTTGTTTTTTTTTTTGCTACCTCGATAGTTACAAGTCTTCCAAAATCGCAGCTTTGATCATAATGTGAAATTAGAAAAAGTCAAGAGACAAAGAGCAGCACTATTGGAGTGAAGTCGTGATTACTGGGTAATTAAACAGATCATATTTGAAATTTTAATTGCAAACATTATAAAGGTATAAAAGTATTTTCTCAATTTGAAAATGTAAACTCTTGATATTTGGCATTTTAATTCCTGCATATGTGCTGGTGTGAACTAGAGTAAATCTGCTGGATATGAAGAAGAGAACAAAAGTATCAATGTCATCATGCCAGTATCTATGCAACAGTAACAGATATTTAGATTGATCTGCTGCTAAGCCCTATTAAGCACAACGCCAATATGTCATACTTTTGTGCATAAAAAATCCAAAATGACAAAGTGGAAGGGGTATGAAGACTTTTACAAGACACTGAAAATTGCAGCCCTGTGTTTTTTTTAAATGTCACAGTTATAATGCATCTGGGCAAAACCAGAATTAGAGGTTGGAGAACGCTGATAAAAACTGACTCTTAGATTTCAGCAGGAAGACTCCAGTCAAACCTCGATGTTTTTGCTTTAAATACCTTTCAAGAACTGTGAAGCTGCTGTTGCGATATTTCTGGTGTGCAGTTGCCAAGGTTACTAAGTGTGTGGTTAGTGGAGTAAAATCTGCAGTGCCAGGTCCAAGGTTTTGTCCAGTTGCCAGCTGTATAAATGCACCAGCTTGCTCTTTCGACTCCCCAGTGAGCTAAGGAAGAGATTCCCTCACCTTTCACCTGTCCTTCCAGTCTTAATCCGGTTCCTGCTGTATTTTGAAACAGTCATAAAAAACAGCTGGATAAAAGTTGATGCGCCAAGAATATTGGGAGGAATTGTGGGCTTTCGTATGGCGATCAGTAATAAATGTAGGTAAAGAGGCTGAAATATTGATGGAATCCTAAAGGCAGGGTGATGAGTGCATGAATGGGTCAGCTTTTGCTTGGGATGATACAGGCTGACAGCAGATGTGATGTGATGGCAGATAAATTCCTGAATCATTCGTTCAGAGCTCAGGGGAGGCACAGATGAATAATGGCCTGACTCCTGCCTGCTGTGTTGCTGTGGTGTTTGTATTGATTCCATTGTTGCTGATGAACTAATACAGTGCTTGTGTCTCTTTGCTGTGTCTGCAGTCGATGCAGTCTTCCAGAGGCTCCCCCTGGCTGAAAAACCAGCAGCAACAGCACCATGTCCCGTGTCTCCTCCACCCCCAAACGCTATGCTGGCTCCTCCTACACCAGCCACTATAGCTCCTACAGCCCCTCTCTGACCCCGGGCCTCAGCACCTATAGCGAGCGGGACAGGCTGTCCACCTACAGGTCCCCCAACTCCACTTCCTCCTCTGGATACTCGTCCAGCTACCTGAGCAGCTCCGCCGCTCGCAGCCGCAACTACAGCGCCTCCTCGGACCCCGATCGAGACCGGGGTCGAACTGTCCCTCGCACCGACATCCTCGGGAGTAGCAGCAGCAGCATTAACAGCCGACGGAGTGAGAGCCTCAGTAGAACCCCCGTCAAGAGCTACGGATCGTCAGGTCTGAGTGGGGGTTCAGCCTACTCAGGCTACAGCGCTTACCAGCCCAGCTACCTCGCTTCTTCACCGGCGGCCTCCAGCATCCCACTCAATAGAAGAAAGTCTGTTTCCCAGAGTGACCTGAGCAGGGACTTGTCCTCCCTGAGCCTCAGCGATGTGTCCTCCTCCTCCTCCACTCCATCCTCCTCCACCAGTGCCCTACGGAGCTACCACAGTCGAACTAAAGACGTCCCCGAGTCGTATGACATAGGCTCCAGACCGGGCTGCTCGAGCCTGTTGCGGAGCTCCACTCAGGAGGCCTTCAGTAGCAGCAGCATCAGCAGAGCATATAGCTCCTCGTCATGGGAACCAAGCAGCAACGGGATGTCTGACACCCCGAGAAGGAACTCCATAGTAAGTCCTTTTTTTTCTTCTTCTTCTGCTTTTACAGAAGAATCAATAAGCAGCTTGCTTATTGATCCAGATTTGATCAATAAGCAAGCTGATGGAGGCTGAATAGAATCCAAGCTGCGGTATTTGCCACCGATGTTGTCTGCCCAGGTCTGCATTTGTTTCATTGAGTCCCCGGGTTGTAAGGGAAATCTTAGTGTACTCACATTGCAATTGATAGAAGTGTTTCTTGACCAGGTGGGGGCGCTGTTGGTCAAATTACTTTGAGTTTCCTTTGAATACCAAACATTGATTTACTTGACTTTCTATGGAAATATTTTCAACCTCTAAATAGAAAGTCCAGATTGTCCTGCCCCTCTATATTGTATGGAGTAATTGAGTGTGTAAGTAGCTTCAGTACACATAGTGATAAAATGACCTCTTGGACACTTGATGCCTGTTAAAGCTAGCAATTATCTAACTCTCTACTTTCCCGAGTGAGCTTGGTCTATAGGCCACCCTGGCCTCACCGAGTTCAGTATTTATGATTTTCTTTGGCAAACATAAAATCAGTCCCACAGGGTGGCAACATTGTACATGAAAGAGTTGGAAAGTATTTTTTTTAATATAACAAATATTTTTTAATGATTATTTTGTATGGTTTTTTTTTTTTTTTTTACATAACTTTGTTATTGTTATTTAGGGATATCATGTGAGCTTATGTGAAAATGTACCACACGCAACTGAAATTCATTAATGTTTACTTCATTTCTTTGTTTGGATTTATCTAGTTTCATCTCCAATGTTTTCTTGAGATAAATATATCTCAAGTATAGATAGATAGATAGATAGATAGATAGATAGATAGATAGATAGATAGATAGATAGATAGATAGATAGATAGATAGATAGATAGATAGATAGATAGATAGATAGATAGATGTTTGTGTGTTCTTATTTATGTATCATGTGATTGCATGCTTTTATTTGATATTTTAATAGCATATTTCCTTTACCTTGGAAGTTGTTACTTTCTTAGGTTTAAAGGCAAGATTTTGCAAGTATATTAATGACTTTCTGTCTAGCCATTAATTGAACAAATTCAATTCTGGGTAATGTAGTTTGTTCTGTTTTATGGGTAATGGTTGCCCGGTGAGGGAGCTGTCTGGTCTATTGCCAGTGTACTAGAATTGATATGTTTACATTTGAGCTTTGCACATTCTAAATAAATGTTGTTGACTGTCATGTGAACTAAGAAATATCACCTGGTCACCTGGTGGTCTGTGTAAACAACAGCTCAACTTTAGGCTTCCAGCATGTATTCAGAAGCAACACAGTGTGTAACAGAAACCTAGTGTGGTTTCCTTGTTGAGTAGCTAACAGTGTATGATGGTCCTCATAGAAACTTGGTAACAATCAGAGCTTCAGACAGAAACAACCGCAAGTGTCAAAAGCATGGGTTCACCGTACGTCTGTGTGTAGTGCAAATATATGGGAGACACTGTGTCATGCAGATTAAATGAGTGGTTGTTAACTGTGTTCTGTCCAATATGCTGTGCACTGTCCCACACTGATGAATGTGCTGGTGAATCTGAGGACACCAGTGGTAGTTGCTGCATTGTGTCTGAAGAGCATCTATAAGATCTGATCAGCCACTGTACGGCTGGTTTCTGAAACCAGATCACGTCAGATCAGACATCTCCAAGCAATATATTGAAGCTGGTTTATTGTCTGGGTTTCAACCTGATTGTGAAGATTCAGCTATTTGTCCTATTTGAGCCTGGAATGATTCTTCAACAAGTTATTTCAGCTAATCTTAATTGTAAGAACTATGTGTTAACTAAGAACTGTGTGCAACACAATTTGTTCCTGGTGGAACTTGATTAAAATGTTTATCGAGCTAACTGCATTTGAATCAAAATTCTATATAAGTGATAAAATAAGCAATATTCTCGATTTAATTTGGTTTAATAGCTCATTAAGAGGCCACCACAGTGTTGAATCAATGACTATTAAGGGAATAAAGGCTTAATAAAGACCTTAAAGCTCAAGAACATTCAAAAGCTATTCAATAATGATCATAAAAAAGTAATCTAACATAGAAAACTCCATTGATAAATTTAAACTGTTATTGTCAAAAGAAACAATAAAATTAGCCAAACAAATACACTTTTTTTAACAATTACTAATATTAAACATTTCATTTACTATGAATGAGTGGAAAGCAGAATAATGTCATAAACCTTAACAAAACAATTAACTTCCTGTATGGGAACAGGCAAAGAAACAATGGCAGTCGCAAACTGGCCTAAGCAGGGTTGAGAAACAATGTCATGGTCAGCTTACCTGGACTTCTCTGGAAAGCAACGTCTCTCCTGGTAGCTCAGTCCATGCCCTCTTTGGTCAGCTGGCACAGTAAAAGGAGTTTGGTTCACCATATTTCAATAAGAGGGGGGAGTATTCCCCTTACTGAAAAAAATATTTTGCTGCAGATGGCCTTCATCCAAAAACTTCCAACTGTGCCCTCTCTCAGGAGGCTTCTCCTTGATTCTTTGTCCTTGTTGTGCTTCACACCAACAGGTGAACCTCACCAGCTTATTCAAGTCAGTGTGCATCTCTCCATGGTGGTGGATTTGCTGCTGCAGGACATATGAGCACCAGACAGCTGTACCACATATTGTTTCTCAGCCAAGACCAGTCCAAAATGTAGGGGAATTTTCCAAAACTCTTAACAGCTACTTAGATATAGTCATTGGAAAAATGACTTTGTCCTTTGTGGATTTTTGCACCTTAGCAAATAGGTTCCAATTAAAAACCAAAAAGCACTTGGATCAATTTCCCACAGATATTATTGTAGATTGTGTCATGTTCATATTCCATACCAACAAATGAAATTATGTTGTTCAGTTTCAACAGGAGCACACAGAATAATAGTTTAAGCCTCATTGTAGTCAACTTGTTTAAGACACAAGGTACAGTCGAAAACAGCTTGTCTTTTTCAACTAATTACCATTTAGTTTATAGATGCAACTCACACAGGGGTAGATATTTAATACATTTTAAGTCGACTAATCTCACATGAATTAGAGTTGCTAATCCAGACGCTCTCCACTAGCAAAATAGTAGTACGAGTCTCCTGTCCATAAGAAACAGGAACATTTTCCAAAGGCTAGTTATATGCTTTAGTATATGGTGACAAATATTAAAATAAGAATGTAAAAAAAAGAGTAGTGTTATATTTGCTTTCAGATTCTGAACTGAATCTGAAATGAAAAATTAAAGGATAGTCCTCTTTCTTTATTATTCCTCATTGGTAGCAAAATAGCACCACACAATGCTTCCACTACCTTGCTTGGCAGTGAACATTCTTTTTCTCATTGTGTCTAAACAGCACAATCCTTGTCTTGTCTGAGCAGCAACCTTTTGTCCATGTGAACAATTATAAATTACCATGACTGATAAACCCATTTCCAATCTTGTCCAACCAGATTTTCATGGTTCAGATTTTGTTCTCTTCTGCCTTTTTTTTAATGCCATCTTGCCATCTAAGCAGTTATCACCTGTCCTAAATCACTCCTGCTGTGTGCATCGACTCCACCTTCAGTCCATTCTCCACTTCCCTTGTGCAGTATCCATATTTAAACTCCTCCATCTCCATGTTTATACCACTAATACGTAATAGATGTCTCAATTTCATTCTTCCACAAAAATAATTGAACCGAGTTTATCAACCACAGTTTGTGGAATACATGCTATTTCTGTTGTTATTTTTTCCCACTTTCCAGCAACTGCAGTCCATCTGGTGATGCATCCATACAGTCGTCCTCCCCTTATTAGAACATGAATGTTTACAGCCACATATACCAGGATTGAAGATTATCCTAAAATAGGTTTGGCAGAGCCAGGTAAATCCAATCCTGGTGGTTTCTTAGAACTTTGCTGCGGAAAAACAGCAGCTGCATGTGCTGTTGTGCTTCAGTGATGAGTAAGACAAAGTGGATGACACAGCTATCTTTGGTTTTTTTTCTGCAGATTAATCAAATTCTCTGATCAAACCTGGTCAGAGTCCATATTCTTGTTGTTGCTTTAAAATTCTTAGAAATTTAGTAATGATTAGGTACAGCATTTTTACTCAGTAAACAGCACATTGTGAGTGTTTACGATAAAAACATGCAATAATCAGGTGTATAACAACACTTGTAGCTCACGAGACAAGGCAGTGCATAATATTGCGATCATTAGAATGATACACATTAGATTCACAAGCAGTGTACAACCCATGAGTTACAAACTGTGATTTAAAGGGTAGGAATCTGTGTACAACAATGGCAGCTCCTGAAGGCACTATGAAATGTAACAGCTCTTCCCAGGATCAGACATAGCACTCCCCTCCAAGAAATGTTTTTTTTTCCTGCGATGAAAATATTTATATAAAATATGATTCTTCCTTACACAGTCAATTATGAATATGGTTATGAGTTAACGACAACAAAAAAGACTATCGGAATTGGTAATGAACCTATAACCTCACTTGACATTCTGTAAGCAAGTAGGTGGAAGAGCCGGATTTCTTGGCGATTATGCAGGCAGAAAGACCAATTCTGCAGAAATAGCCATTAAGTCTATATGACGCTCAGAGAAGTTTCAATAAAACGTTTTGAAAACATGCATTCTGCTTGTGCTTAGGACTGAAACGACTCCTCGAATTATTCGAGTACCTTGATTATTAAAATTCCTCGAGGAAAATTTTTCTGCCTCTAAGCTTTGTTAATTTATATTTTATTATTTAGCGCACTGTGTTTTTGGCCGGGACATTATTTGCTGTGCAGGGCTCTCACTTCCGCCTATGAAAGCTAAACGTTAGCAGCATGAGGTCCAATTTTCAGTGTACAGTCTACCCGCTCACCTGTATAAATACACCTGCATGGCTCTTCCCCGCCACCAGGCAGCAGCTCCGGAAGGAGAAAAGCCTATCGTACATTAAGGATGCTTATTGTTCCCCTGAAAAACGACAACGACCAAGA